ATATTACCACTTTACTATTATTTTAATTAAACTGGATAACACCCGGTATATAATATTAACATCTTCAAACTGAAACCAATATTATAATTATGCTATTATACAATTGACTTGTTATCTTCATTTTTGCTCATTTTTTTTTGTGAATCTGAATTCCATTGATGTGTTTTATTTTTCAATCTGGTAATAAAAATAAAATAGAAATAGTGGGAAGAGTAGAATGCAGAATTTTAAGTGGGTGTTACGTATGTATGTATGTATGTATGTATAAAGTAAAGGGTCAAAAACGAGATAAATTCTTCGAAAACATCTTATAGTAACGATTGGAATAATTCATTTATAAATTCCAAAATCTATTTTCCATTAGAAAGTTATCGAAAATGTTACACGACTGTAAAAACGAGATCGTGCGTTATGTGTCAAATATTTAAAAGTTAATATCTATATCGAATTCGAAAAAAACACGAGACATAGTATCAGAAAAGTCCGTTGAACCCTGTTAACAATTCTAACTTCCTTTTATAATTAACAATTAAAAAAAAAACAAGATGACGATATGTAAGGAACTGGCGAAGTAGATAAATAATTTTTAACCCACGCTTTATACAGGATGTCTGATGGTCTCAAAAGCAGGCAGAACTTTTTAATATGGTTTGTCGCAAAAACTATATTTGTATAAAATTTCAAAGGTCTAGATGATGGCCCCCTTCGGGGGTGGGTGTGGGGGGAATCGAAAGAGGAGATCTGCCCCACCACTGTACCATAAAAAGTTCGTGGCGGTCTCACCCCCATAAAAAGTTATGGGGGTTCAAAGTTCATAAATATGCCAATTTTTATACATTTCTAGGCATGTAAATATTTATATAGTCATTCTTAAACAATATTCAAAGGTAAAACTAATGAAAAATACATAAAAATATTGAGAAAGTTATATAAAACATTATTTAAATATCTTTATCAATAGGGTAGGTTAGGTTAGGTTATCGGGTTTTGTTCAAGTGACCACCCTCTTTCGATCCCCCACCTCCACCCGCTTGAAAATAATTTTTTTATTGAATTTTATTTCAATTATAGTGTATGAAAATTGTCAAAATAATCAACTTTCAACGCCGCAAAGTTTTTATGGGGTTTTACTTAGGTGACCACCCTCTTTCGACCCCCCCCCCACCCACGAAGGGGATGAGGGCCATCATTTAAACATTTACCAAAGTTTAAACAAATAAATAGTATGTACGTCTTTTTACCAGGTAGTATTTGGCAAAATACTTTTTAAAAATAAGAGGACGCACTGTATATGTAATCGTAATGTAGTTTATTATTTGATTATTCTTTTTTCGTCACTCATGGCGTAACGAATTCCATTGCATAGTAACCTTTTTTGGATTTTCCTTCTTGAGCTCTTCTCGGAATAAAGAAATTCTTGATGAGTTCACTGTCAAGGTCATTCATGCGTCCGCTTGGCAAGGTTTTTTACTAACATATAATTCAACATGAAACAAACTACAAGGAACTAAAATCCCTTACCATCTAATAATGTAATAGCTAAAAAAATACACCTTTATAGATAAGTTAAAAGTTAAACCCTCTAAATTTGAATTTTGGAGACAAATCTGTTCGGGGAATTTTATTTTTTTAATCAAAACTATCTGAAAAAAAAATATTGGAACTAACTATTCTTATGAATTGTGTATCACAGTAAATATATTCTTAAATGGACCGAAAATGTTCATCTTTTTTTTCCGTATTCAACTATCAACCACCCTCCTGCATATCGTTAGGGATAGCCTTTTACCCTCCCCACATGCAGAGACGTGTAATTTATACGTAACCCCTTATGACTGTACTATCATTATTCTGACTTTTTTAATTATTAGTGGTCGTTAATATGAAATATTAATGTGAAAATTCATTTTTAATTTCCTTCCACTTCAAACTACCTCAAGTTAATGAGGGAAAATTTTTGTTGCTCCCTGCCGGGAATTGAACCCGCGACCTTTGGCTTTACGTACCAATACTCAGGTATTGAATTGGTGCTGTGCTGTATTGGTGCGTAAAGGCAAAGATCCCGGGTTCGATTCCCGGCAAGGGTGTGAAAACAGCAACAAAAATTTTCCCTCATTAACTTGAGGTAGTTTGTAGTGGATGGAAAATTGAAAATGAATTTTCACATTAATATATCCTTATTCTACTGTAGCTCTTTTCTAATTTGAACATAATGTTTATCTATGTAATTTGTAAATGTGATAGTTACTAATGCTGCAAAATTTAGTTAAAAATTGTATATAAAATATCTCAGGCATATTTCACCTTTGCATGGTTTGGTACTTCCTGGTAATGAAAAATGTAGTTTTTAAACGAACAACTCTGATAAATAATAATATAATTATTTTAACTGTCAGAAAGTGTTCATAGTAAACATTTTTTTTTGTTTCAAATATAAAACATTTTTAACCTTGAAAACGACAACATATCTAAAGGTAAAAACAGCGTTTTTGATCTGAAAATTTTATAAAGGAATTAAAGAAAACAAACGAAAAATGGTCTTTGGAAGCTATCTTCTTTTATGAAGTGTTTAATTTTTCTCATCTTTTAAGTTAAAAGTAGGAACAAGATTTATGGAACGTTATAAAAAGTGTTTTAGAGAGAAATGAAAACAATCAAATAAGTTTAATAATAATTATATTCCTTCGAGCTTTTGGATTCGCAAATGTGGCCACTAAATTCCGAATAACCATCTTTTTAGCTTCGTTATAGCTAGAAATAGAGAGCTCAATCTTTGTTGCCCCACAGCATTCCGTAGATAACTTTTAATTATCATTTACTATTTTAAGAAAGAATGTTTTGCTTTCGCCACGGTAACTAATGGAATTGTCAGAAACGAACAGCAAATTGTGACAATTAAATTTCAAAAAGCTACTACTTGGGGAGTAATTTCTTAAAACAATGAAATCCGTAACGGAATTAATCATTTTCACATCATTCTTCAAACACTGAAGTTATCTAAAATTGTGACTAAAACATTATTATCATACTTCGAGTAAAATTCTTAAGCCGCAGATAAAATTTCATTGTCAGATGGAAGATAAATTTTTCACAAAAGCAGGAAGTATAATGTAGCTAGGCAGACATTATACCAAGAGTATGAGTAAATACATTGACTCTGTAATAATCTTTATCACTTCTAACGATTCAAACTTTCGAAGTCTCCAAGTTTAAAAACCCTTGTACGTTCAATGGGACACTTGTAGTTACGCCACTGATTATGTACATATATAATTTGTTAAAGTAAGGCAATGGATATAAAATCAGCATATCTTCAATATGTATTTTCAAGCATATCCTGATTACAACGGTACACAGATTGATGTATTGATGAAATCATTGTTAATTAATCGGTGACACGACCTAGATATATTTAAGAATTCTAGGTCACTCGTTATAGTACACACATTTTTCCATCTTTGCATTTTTCCCTTGGTTGTTGCATAAATTTGTTATAAACAATAATTCAGTATAATATACAAAGATTTTATTTACTGTTGAAGACCAACAAAATTATTATTGCTTTTTATTACAATTGTTTTTACGTATGTACCTAGTTACATATAAAAAATTTTTAGAATTAATGATATGGTAAAGAATTAGGTACCTATTAACTCCAAAAAAGAAACAAAATGAATCGTTTTTATTTATTCAAGATTTATAACACCCTGTATGTTTGCCTTTTTCGTAACGGCCTTGCAAAAAAGTTAAGAAGTAAACAATTTTATTATTGTTGTCAACTATCGGCGCCAGTTCAAAAAAAGTATCCTGCGAACAAGTTAAGATATATCGTCACACATAAATTTTAAAAGTATGAAGAATAGAAATGAGCTACATGAGTAATGAACATTAGATAAAGACGGATTCAGTGGTTTTTCCAAATTGCAAAGAAATACGTTAAACATTTTAAAATTTTGCTGGCGAATAAACAACAAAGAATACCTACATAGGTGTTGGTTATACTATGAAAAGAAACAAAGTTGAAGTTTACAAATTTATTAATTATAATTTTAAAATTATCATTCTTCTTCTAAAACACTATTTATGTGTATATATTTTGTCCACGATGTCAACATTACAGTTTTTTGTTAGATATTGGGATATAAAAGTAATTAAACTTTTCAAGTTAACATGTGGAAAAAATAATTAAAAATACAAGAGGTGTCTTTTATTAGCAAAAAAAGTTGACAGTATGATTTAATATTCGACTTGCATCTCAATTACTTACACAAGCGTCCACTAATCAAAAAAACTGAAGCATTTGCTTTGGTGACTGATTGATGATTTAAAACAACAACAAATTTGGTTCGATATATTAGATTTATCACCTTTAATTTAAGAAATTACTTCACAGTTTCTAATTAATAGCTGCATGTTGTAAAAAAATTGATTAGAAGTAATTACAGAATAGTAGTTGAAGTAGTAAAAAGTTCAGTGAAATTGTATTACACCTAAGCTAAATTGGTTGCATAACTATAATTTCCATTTAAAAGCAATCAAGGAATAAAATGTTTTTTTATTAAAATAAATAATCGTACCAACGTTTCGTTTTAAAGATTTTTTCAAAGCTAAACGCTCTAATAATAAATAATACGTACAATTTATTTTTTACAGATTATTCTAGTCACTCAAGCATTAGTTGAAATAGAAAACGTTTGTGTGGTTATTAAAGTTAATTAAATAAAAACTTGCTAATTGCTTAACTAACTAATTGCTTTTAATTTGGAGACTAATAAATGTCAGGAGAAGATATGGTAATTAAAATCCAAAAGTAATACTTGCCTTGGTCGTAATATAAAATTAAAAGTCTTATTTCATTAGTTTTCAAAGTCCATTAAAGAATTACATTAGAATTTGAGATGATTGGCCGAAGGTCAACGCATATGTGACATAAAAATATTTTCATGAAATTTTTACGAAGAATTCGCGATTATCATGTGTCTAATTTCATGAGNATATAATTATAAAATATAATTTTAATCTGAATCATAATCACTATAATTTTCATCCTTTTCTTCTTGCGGGTCTTCATCTTCTTCTTTTTCCTTTTCCTTAGGTTTCACAACTGCATTTGCAGACTTTTGATGGAAAACGAAAGAAATACATTTGCATAAGTCCCATATTTGCTTTACCACCTAAAACAAATTATTACATGCATAAACTTCCATTGAAAGTTCGAAATTTTTAACGTACAATATCGGCAAGTCCCTTTTTATCCCACGCATGGTACCAATTAGATACATCAGAAGTACAATCGGCATCGTCAGGAGGATTCTTTATTTGTATTTTATTAAGACATCTAGCGCACTTAAGTCGCGCGTGCGTATCGGACTCGGTATTTTCCAAACGGAACAATTCCCTCAACTCAGCAGCTGTAAAATGTCTAGCAGTTTCTTCATTCATATCAACTACTGTTGAGCTTAGGGCCTTTTTATGAGCTTGTCGCTGGAATATCTTTTCCTCAATCGTTCCTGTCTGGAAAATAAAATATAGTTAATTTAAATGATAACGTTTTATATCCACGACCATTTCCTAAAGTGGTGTTTCGGATTCTTTTCCCTTCAAACACTTACTGCTAAAAGTCTATAAATGTAGCACGGCTTTTTTTGACCATCTCTCCAAACCCTCGCCATGGCTTGGTCGTCATTAGCTGGATTCCAATCAGGATCGAACATAACGAGGCGATTTGCGCCGATCAAATTCAAACCGCAACCACCTGCTTTTGAACTCAACATGAATATAAACTCTTTTGATTCAGGATTGTTGAAATTTTCCACGACTTTGGCACGCTTTTTAATTGTCATTGTACCATCAAGTCTCACATATAAATAACCCCTAAAATAGTACACGTACATAAAATAGGAGACTCATAAGTTTAAGAAATATACCTTTTCTTGCAAAGTCTTTCAAATAAATCCAACGTTTGTGTATAATTCGAAACCAGAACAATTTTATCATCGTAATTCGTCTTCAGATTAGCTAATAAACAATCCAAAAGCATTAATTTACCCGAAAATTCCGGTCTTACGTCCGTAGAATTACCCCTAACGGGTAACAAATCTTTAGCTTTCTCAAATCCATCTGCTCCTTCCATGATTTTGTCCATAACCAGATCGGGATGGTTAACTAATTTTTTTAAGGTCGTAATACTGGCTAAGGTACTTAGGCTAGGTTTAGCATCTTCATTATTTACAACCGTTTTCCTAATGGCTTCCGAATTTATATAATTTTGATACAGTTGCTTTTGTAATGGGGTAAGCTGGCAGCAAATTATCATCTCAAATTTCACCGGTAAATATTTAGTAAGTAAGGAACTGGTACGTCTTATAAGACACTTATTAACAAGGGCTGTAAGTTGTTGGAGACATTCCTGCGCATGTTGACGTTCTAGCAGGGTTGCGCACGCATCTTGACCTTTAAAATTAAAAAAAAAAAGTAATAGAACTTTAGTTTGCATACATAAATAAGACCAAAATACCTTTAATTATATAATTTTCGTATTTTCGTCTAAATTCTTGTGCACTTCCCAGAAGTCCCTCATTTACAAAATGTATAAGACTAAAATATTCCGTAAGATCGTTCTGAATAGGCGTACCACTTAATAAAACCCTTCTTTTAGCTTTAAGACACATTAAGGCCCTGTAAGTCTGGTTTTCACAATTTTTAAGCCTATGTCCTTCGTCACACATTACTAGCCCTATTTCACTGGTATGCAAGATATCGGCGTGCATTCGAAATGTTTCGTAGGAAATTATCAGCAACGGTATGGAAGTACGGCCTTGGCCCTGCATAAATTGCCGTAATTTTGCTTTGGCATCTGATCCACCATCCATTATTAGGCATGGTAATCTCCCTGCTAACCACTAAAATAATAAATGTTTGTATCTATCTGCTTCATTGTACGTACGTTAAAAAAGAACTCTTTTTATTCCCAGTATTATTCCCAAAAGTGGGCTCTTAATTCTTTTACTACATATTAAGTACCTTTTGTATTTCATTACTCCAATTTCTTACTAAAGAACTTGGACATACAATTATTGCTTTTTGTATTGTGGCTTTACACTCAGGACCCTGTTTAAGTAAAGTCCACAGCAATGTAATGCACTGTAATGTTTTTCCAAGGCCCATTTCATCTGCCATTATGCATCCATAAGAGCCAGGTATTTGTACACCAGTTACACAATCATACATAAACTTAACACCCTATAAATGAAAAATGTAGAAAATGAAAGTTTAAAGTTTACTTTCTTAATGTACTTCTCTTTGATGGGGTCTCAAAATATTACTCAACGTTGGATCCACAACTACATGTACCAACGTTGGGCCTTCACTTTTTAACTTCTCATGCTCAGACATTTCTGGAGGAGTATACAGAACCAAAGCATTTGGAGTATTAGGGTCATACAAAGCTCTCTTTATCTGGCTTCGTTTAATGCCTAAATTTTTTGTTGAATAAGATCCAACATAATTTGGAATAGGACATTTAAATGGTTTGGAAAGTTTCTTAATTATTTCTTCCTACAACCAAGGTATATTTAATTTGTGTATTAATTATACTGAGATACCTACATAATCTGAGACAAATATTATTTCTGTTTTTTGATTTAAAGGGGCTAATGGCCTTCTTTGTTTAGGAGCCTTATCAGTTGAATGATCTCTAGTTCTTTTGAGGGGTTTAGAAATAGGAGAGATAAAATTCGTTTTTGGGGAAGATAATGGGCCATTATATCTTTGACTTGGAGCTAAACTTCGCCTCTATAACACAAGTTATATATAACTTACATTATTAAAATATTTATTATTTAAATGATTTACCATGACTGTTTATTAATTAACGTTTTAAACATATTAACAATCAATTCCTTTATGTATACAAAATTATTACCGGTTATATTAGGTTATATTTGTTTAAATTATTATCTATGGTTATATTCATAGGTTATTTGAATTTCATATGAAACATAGATATGAAATGTGTCTATAATACCACTATACCGTATTTCGTTTATATCAATTTTTAATAAAAAAATAGTTATTTCTATACTAATAAAATTTGAAGCTTCCGGTAATACACTAGATGATGACCAAATAGTTTAAAACATTTTTGATGTAAAGGTAGAAAGTTCTTTCATTTTTTACTTTCTATCAATTAGTGCATGAATTACGTGGCCCGTACTTATCTGCATTATTATCTGTCAAATGCATTACCTGGTAACCTTACATTTTTCATCAAAAATATACTAAACAAAAATTAGCTTTTCTCATTACAAGATGAAACATTTTTTTATATTTACGTAAGTAAAATAATTTATTATTAATCAATAACTGTTTTTTCTCAATGTTACAATATTTTTAGAGCTTGCACAGTTTATTCATTAAAAATGGTCCTAGCTCTAAGCATTTTCATGTTCACATTATTAATAGTAGGATTACCAGTTGCATTCTTTCTTTTACGATGGAAGTACACCTCTGAAAAACAAAAAAATAGAAATGATAAACTGAAAGTGGCTTTCTTCCATCCATACTGTAATGCAGGAGGTGGTGGCGAAAAAGTTTTGTGGGTGGCATTACAAGCATTACAGGAACAGTAAGTTTCAGTAGAAGACTTTCATCAATACAATTTACTGTTTTTAAAGGTATCCTTTGGCAGAATTTTATATATACACGGGTGATATTGAAGCGAATCCTTTGGAGATACTATTCAAAGTAGAAAAGACATTAAATGTAAATATTAGTAAAAACATAAGATTCATATATGTACATCGTCGTAAGTGGATTGAAGCTCATATGTATCCATATTTCACTCTATTAGGACAAAGTTTAGGATCAGTGTATCTTGGTTTTGAGGCCCTGAGTAAATGTAATCCAGGTATAACATCTAAAGACCATTTAAGTTTTGAAAGAAAAACAATTTTAAATCTTCTAGATATATTTATTGATACAACGGGTTGTTCCTTTACTCTGCCTCTCTTCAAATATATAGGAGGATGTAAGACAGGTTGTTATGTTCATTATCCAACGATTACCACTGACATGTTGAAAAGAGTTCAGAACAGAACTGCAATGTATAATAATCGTCCTATAATAGCAAGGAGCCCAGTGTTATCAATGGGGAAACTTACATACTATAGGATATTTGCATGGGTTAGTTTAATTAATAATTATTATTTGTTTACTGCTTATTTTTTAAATAATTCTCGGTTAGCTACATTAAAAAAGTGTAAAGTAACTCCTTTGGGTATTCATGTCGACTATTAAATTAATCGTAGATGTATTCGTGGGCCGGACAATGTTCCGACTCTACCATTGTGAACTCAACATTCACCCAAAGACACCTCAACACTTTATGGAATCGCCCCATTCAGCTGGTTTATCCGCCATGCGATGTGGAACACTTAAAACGAATTCCTCGTGGTAAAACGCAGCTGGATAAAATTCGTATATTATCTCTAGCCCAGTTCAGACCAGAAAAAGATCACCCTTTGCAATTACAAGCCCTCTACGAACTACGAGAAATAATTTCTGAAGAACTATTCAGTAACATCACTCTGGTACTGTGTGGAAGTTGTCGTAATTCGGACGATGCAATCCGAGTCAAAGATCTCAAAGACCTCAGCAAACATTTAAGTTTGGAAAACAACGTTGAGTTTAAGGTCAATATAACATACGATGAATTATTGTCTGAGTTTGAAAAAGCCTACATAGGAATACATACAATGTTAGATGAACATTTTGGAATTGGGGTTGTAGAACTTATGGCAGCTGGATTAATTACTATAGCTCATAAGTCGGGAGGTCCCCTCTTAGATATAATAGAATCTTCAGAAGGATCTCGATTAGGGTTTCTAGCAATTACTGCTGACGAATACGCTCATACAATTCGACGTATTTTGTATTTGAGCGAAGATGAAGTTAATAGCATAAGGGAACGTGCTAGGGCTTCTGTGGACAGATTTTCCACGCCTAAATTTAAAGAAGAATTTTTAAGAGTCATAGAGCCGTTATTCAAGTAACAGAAATCGATTTTCTATATTTAAAAATACATAAGACGTAATACATTTTTATAAATGTATTACAGACTACCAAAGATTCAATAATTTGGTGTTTAAAAAAATAAAAATAATTATATAATAGATTTTGAATCTATTAAATAATAAAAATGGGTTTATTCGATACCAGTATATTAGTGTTTTTCAAAACAAACTCTCGTATGTACAAATACAAGAATTGTGTGATATTATCCATTAATGTAATACTTTTAGATACATTTTTCTTTTCTGTTCAATTGGTTTAGTCGTTATGTAAATACGACTATGCGAATAAATTAATAATCGACACAATTGTTGTCATTACTATCAGCACAGGGCAAAATAGTATTACGTAATTTGTATATCAGCAATTTCTTATGCTGGAGTGTACGATGTGTTGCATACATATTTACAAATAATTCCTTTAATTCTTCAAACAACTTTTAATGCAAAGAAAGTGATTAAACAAATTGTTCACAAAAATGAATTTCGACCACTCGAAACAATGACGCTAACAGTTTCGAGCTCACAGTGACTGATAGGGGGGAAGAACTAATATTTATTTAAATTTTCCCTGCATTTCTAGACATGTTTGTGTTTAAAACATATCCATAGATTAAAACATATCATCCTTATTTTGATCGATTAAAATCGCCTGTGTTCGTAATTTTAATGTTTTCTGGTTTTCTTGAAAAAATTAAAAATGATAGAAGTGTTTCATATGTTTTTGACAGGTTAGGTAAAATAAAAGGGTGAAAGTAATGAGTAATGTTGAGTAAAATTTACGTTTCAAAACACACTACTTTATTTTGATTAAAAGCGCGCGTTTAAAAAAATGTTCTTTAAAGAATTATTATCGCAGTAGACTACTATTTCCGGAGTAGTTGATTACAGACGTTGGCTGTGAAAATTTATTTACCACTTCATTTTTTTTAATGAGATTGTTTTAACTAACAATGAATACAGGTAATTTTATTGTAAATTATTTGTTTTGTATTTAAAACTATTTAATATGCTATAATCCGCTTTTCTTGTTTAATGAGCAAATACTTTTTAATGAATTCTGAATTTTGTAATCAAGTTCAATTATTATAAGTATTGTTGTTATACGTACTATAATTTTCCTTACTTTTTGAAGTTGTAAATGTTTCAGCAACAAAAGTAATAGTTTTTAATTTATGAAGTTAATAAATTAAGGTTATGTTTACCAAAGTCTTTATTTACAGAAAATGAATCATCTAACAAACGCAAAAATATATTGGATCCAGAACATAATATAACTGAGCCTGAATTAAAAAGACCAAAATGTGAAGCTCTTATAAACATATTAGATTTCTCAGACTGCGTTTTTATAAATATTTTAAAATATTTGGATACTACATCGTTATACCAGCTTGGAAGGTATTACCTTCAAATTTTTGTTTTTTTTTTAATGTTTATGCTTTTCTATCTTTAGAACATGTACTCGATTTGAGAGGCTGGTAACTGATCCTAAATTTTGGAAACATGTGTATGCTAGAAAGCCTCCAAATGACATCAGTAAAGCTGAATTCATTACAAACAATGTCGGCTCTTATACAAAACATATTTTATTGGCTGGTGATAAAAGAAGTGATCAAATTATTCCATTATCTATTTTTACACAGGAGAATTTCTTGACTAATATTACAGTATTAGCTCTTGAGAATCAATTTTTAGATGGGAAAACAGTAAGTTTCAGAATTAAAGATTTTGTGTATTAATTAAGGGTTTTTTTCTTTTTAATAGGTCAGACTTAAGGATTTCCCAAAGACTTTAGAAGAGCTTAGTTTTCGCAGATCGTTTATATTAGAATACAGGAATTTTTTTAATGCTAGCAGCACTGCCATGAGTCGACTAAGGGTAAGTTAACTATTTATTTAAATACTTTCTATGTTTAATTCTTATTATTTTATATTTTGTAGGTACTTATTCTGGATCATTGCCAATGGCTGGAAACAGATCTGATTTTTTGTGTTAGCAAATATCCAAACCTCGAAATATTTTCTCTCTATATGTGCAAGAAAGTAAATGACCATAATGTAGCTCACTTCTGCATAATGAGTCGATTTGGATTCAAAAAGCTTCAAGTCTTAGATGTCAGGTTCACAGGTGTGTACTTTCATATTTTTATGAAAATGTTTTACTAACTATACTCTTGCTTTTTTGCTTTTCCTGTTGTCTTTGTGAAGGTTTTAAGTTTGTGATCTAAATAACAATTCCATTACAAAAAAGGGGCTGTTAGAATTTCTTAATTTCAGGGTAAACACAATTCACTCTCTCACCCTAGTATTCAATGTGTGCATGTGACAATACATACTGTTGTAATATCAGCAAATTTTTACAAAGGCTTTTATTTTCTTTTTAAATAATTGTAATTTTTAGGTAATAAAAAAATAGTCATTTATTAATTTGTTCTTCCCCCTTTTTTGTACATTGGCGTTTGTTTTTAATTCTTTTATTAATGTTTGTTCATCCAATCATGTTTTTTTACCAGTTTGAAGCGTGAATACCTTTAACTCACAAAATTATAACTCAACACTATAGTAACTTTCAAAATTAAAAGATTTTTACATGAATTGTTGAGTTGTTGCTTTTACTAATTTTACAAAAATTCTTCCAAAAAGTGTCATTTAAACACAGAATTGAGTGTAAATAAGCTTTTTTGATTAAAGCACTCGTTAACTTTTTTAATTTTGTTTCTTCATTTTATTCCAAGGTCTAGGAAACGAATGTATAAATTCGTTTTATTGCTCGTCTACGTTACAAGAATTGTACCTGCAATCGTATTGTACTACATACAGAGAAGAGAGGGCGATAAGAAAGGCGTCACTATTAGAGAAGGACGAAAAACATGGCGAAGGCGTCTCATACGTCTCAGATGACGACGACAACGACGACTCCTGCTTGTCGAACATAAAAAAAAGATTTGGGGGGAGTAATTTGAACACATGTCGGATCGACACGGTATCCGATGCCTCTATGCAATTCTATTCTAGGACGCGATCGTTGAAAAGAAAAGACGGTAGTTCTGAACGACCAAGGAGTGTCCTCTACAAATATCCATATTCAGAGGAATGTACCTGTGGATTTTATGAGGAATATTGGAGTAATATAGGTATGAAAATAATTACTGAAAATATTGATTGTTTTATGAATGGTCATTTAAAAGTAAAACGAAAACTTTTTGGTATCACTTTCACCGTTTGTATTTTTTTAGGACAAAGTACTCCTGAACCCTCTTCATCATCATCTACAATAGATCCTCCGCGTCCAGTGTCTCCTGCAACCTCCGAAAAATCACCAGACGATCGATCATTAGATAGCATTTATTTTTTTCATATCGATCCGATTGCATACTATCGTTTTCGAAAAAACGTACAACGTCATGAACCCCTTCCAGATTATCTTCATGTTGAATCAAATCAACTTACGAAAGATAGACGTTGGATTGGTCTTCGTGATCCCCTCAATGATTACGAAATTTCAATGCTGGAACATACCGATTACCGATTGGATTCCTATGCCATTGCCACCCAGTTCCTTGACTTTAATACGATTGATTTCACGGATCCCATTGCGGTAATGTACAGTTTGAATCGGGATTTTGCTCGTCGTCAGGTACATGTGATTCGAAGAGCCGAAGGATTCGATGCATTCGATTTTGCGAATCCGGCGAAAACTCTTTTCGGAGACATCGAACCAACCGATGAAGTGCTCTCATTTACGACTGAACTTCTGGTAAACAGTGCACGGCTCATTTATCTTCTTTTTGACGAACTTCGGCCGATAAAACCGTCTCCAATAATATCTTTGGCACTCTTCAGTATTTACCACGACGGGGATAAGTTACAGCAAGCCGTAAGACAGGCTTCGAAGAAGGTATCTTGTGTCACGCGTAAAGTGCTTCGTACTTTCGTTATAGGTTACGCTCTGCTCCGAACTTACGATCCGCGTTTCCGTAACACGATATGTAATCTAGTACAACGAGTTTATAACAAGGTGTCGCTTGATTGTCAGAAGATGTTCTTGCCGGTACTTAGGGAAAAGGCAGATGCACTTCGGGCTAACGTGCCCTACGAACACGGAATCTATGTAAACGAACCGCCTGAGGATTATAACGACGAAGAATGGGGCTTCTGTTTAGCGAATGGCGAAGTAATGTACAAGGAGGATCGAAGCATATGTGGCCAAGACGGATGCGGGGATTGTCCGGAAACGGAACCTGTCGAAATACGGGACGGAAGGGAAGACGCAGTTAAAGCAGGTAGGATTTTTTGCTTACTTTAGTATTTCAGTGTTGGTTATTGCATCTGCAAGAAGTTTTAGGTAGACGTGAATAAGAATTTACAGATTTAACAAAAATGAACGTGAAACTTCGAAAATTGTTTTAAAATTAATGCGTTAAGGTTACGTAATAAACAACATTTAGTGGCGGTGAAGGTACGACAGTACCTACAAAATTTACACCTACATTACAAGCGAGTGACACGAGTTTTCTTACCGCAATGTTTGTTTCTAAATTATCCACTTAATCAATATATTCTTAGAAATCAGTATTATTTACTGTCAAATAAGTATCTGTATCTGTTGCAGTTTATTTATTGTTTATGCAAGAGTTCTTTTAATTTTTTATTCAAATCTGAAAGGTTATTATAACTATGAATTTCATGAAGGGAATCGTACTTAACTTGATAATCGTTACAGTAATTTATCAATTGCTTGTAATTGAACTTGGCTGATATTGTGGTATAATATATACATCGTACAAATTTCATCAATGGAATATTCCAATTGTATACAGTTGCTTTGGCCCTTCATTCTGTTGATATTCCACATATGGTCCTACTCCTGGTACTGTTTACGATATTTGGTTCCACACTTTTAAGTCTTGTTCCTACATTTCCTTTCGTTTCCTTAAACGTTGCTCATCATTCCTCGGTTTGGGTTTTTTAGAAGTAGTAAATAAGAAGTAAGTAACAATTCGTTATGTTACAGACTTCTCCGGTTGGGAGATTTTCTTTAACAGGATGGCATCGGCTAAGGCGCAATGGGACGGTAAGGATCCGTCGAAACCTGATTTACCAAGGTCTCCAAAATTATCACCCAAATTAGCTTATAAACGATTAAATCCGTTATACCGTCACCATAACCGGACTGGGGATTTAGGTTTGTGTATTGTAGGTCGTAGGGTTGGGGAGAGCAGCAGGGACAACAACGAGCAAGATCATAACGACGAAGGAGAGCCAGGACCACCATTGGGTCTCTTGCGTCTAATTGAAATAAGTTTAAGGAGAAATGACGAGAATGATCAAGAGCAGCAACAAAATCCAGTAAGGTTACGGCATGAAAATATCGAAATAGTCCGAAATTTTCCAGTTCGTGAGATACCGCTTAGAAGATTATCGTTACGGGGATTCCCAAATATTACCAACCGTTCATTAATCCACATTGATGAGCTCGAACTCGATCTTTTGGACGTAACAAAAACTAAGGTCACTGCAGAAGCGGTTAAGTCATATCTATTATTGCATCCTAGCTGTCGAGTAGTTCACGAGTCAGCTTGTACATGTGGACCAAAATTACATTTTTAAAAATATTTTGGAGGAATCGCGAAAGGACTTTTAAATAACATAAAGTAAGTGAATACCAAACTATTGGTCTAGAAGTTTAAAGAGTGGGTGGTAATTTTTAGTTTTGCAAGGGGGTGTGCACGTATGTTTTTATAGGATTACTGCACATATCTTGCGATTTTTAATGTATTCCTTTTTTAACAAACGGCTAAAGACCGAGTTATTGTTTTATTTAGCTTCCAGAAAGAATATAACTTGTTTTTGTGATTTAAATAAAAACTTTTAACAGTTTTGTAATGTTCCATTATTGTTTTGTCGTTTCTTTAAATTCACCCCAAGGAAACGTTCCTCTCTTTTTCATTATTTACGTGATGTTTTTGATTAATTTCCACAGTTTATATGTAAACGGTAAGAAAAGCCGGAGTACCTAGATTATCAAGTAGTTACATGATTAAAAATTTTCGTTCACATGAAAGTTAAAGCTTTTTGGGTAGAATAGAGTAGTATAATTAGTGCACATTAATTTTCACTTTTGATAAAGAAAACACAAATTGTATGATAAAACAATGGTTTTTATTTGAAATACTCTTCCATGTAGGAACTAAAATTTCTGAACGTCAGTCTTAATAATTAAAAAAAAGTTGTAGGTGACGATTAATTAAAACCATATAAGTACACATAAATAACAAACTTTTTACAACTAAAAAAGGGATACATAACGGTTTACACTGGCTCTTCATTAAGTGCTTTTTTTATCACTTACCATCACTAACACTTTATATATTTACATTCTTAAAAAGAGTGGAGAGTGAACGTCTTTTTTTACATAGACAGACAGCTGCTTATTATCACTATAAGAAACACAGGTTTTCAATGCACTTTTCAAAGATGTCGAGCATTTTGCAAAAACGTTCAATTGTAAGTAAACGAACTCATGATAAAATTTGATATTAATGAAAGGGTCGTTTGCAAAACATCATACACATTCAAAAAGATGCATTTTTTTAGAAATAAATTACATAATGATAAAAATCATAAATAAGTTAAAGTTTTAGCGTACTTAACAATTATTACAAATTATCGAGACCCTTAATATTAATTTAATTAGTAACGACAGTAGCTAATCAGGCGCTGGATTTTTTCATATTTTTTTACGATATCATATTTCAATCATTTATCACAATAATACTTAACAGCAAATGCAAGAAAAACCTCATGAAAGGTCAATCAAAAAAACTTAAGCTTAAAAAATTGTTATAATTATAGTATTGTTTCTCCAGTGCCGGCTGGGTACGATACGAGATTAACAACGTTATGGCAATGCTCGCGATCCGGTCCTGTCGCTTTTTATTTTAAATCCAATAATAAATAACAATAAATATCACAAACGAAAGCGAACCAGTGTTTCCCGTTAGGTAACGTTTTACGCGGGAAACGAAGGTGTGATGTACTCTTTTGATTGAGCAAAATAACAGGTCGATCGATATGTCCAAATATTTGCTAAATTAAAATGAAAAGGTGTGTTTTTTTAACAAATACAAAAGAGATTATTATTACTAAACAGTTTAGGATATAGATTGAATTGTACCCGTAGTTTTATGGGGGTTAAATTTACAGTATGTATTCAACTACTCGCTACTCTTAAAAACCGAATTCCATAAAATTTAAAAAACCTACCTATCAATTATATCTTACAAAAATATTTCTCGTTTAGTTGAAACAATTCCTTTTATAAATTATTACTTAACTAAAAATAGTAATTTGTAATTGTTAATTAATATTTAAAAAAAAATGCATCAATGTAATTTTGTAATAAATAATCCGTTATAGTTTTATACGGACTAAAGTTAAAAATTTAGAATTATTTAAAGTGCTTTTCTAAAACAATTAAAAATACAATTTTCAGTCAATTTCATGTTTACAGTCTCGATTATTAATCGCTTTTCAAAAATTCTGATTTGTACCATAAATTCACATTTGCGAGAATTAAGCATCGTCGTAACTTACTTTATATTTACGCTAAATAATTCTTTCCTAATCGTTGTAGTTTGCCACTTTTTATTATTTACTGCGCCCCAAAAAACAAGCAATATCGCCATTTTTCCGAAAAGTACAGTAAACATTGATATAATTGAACAACCGATCGACCAAATAATTAACGACAAAATAAACGACAATAAACCTACGGGCATTACAAGTAACGTCATGAAAGTATGGACGAGACAGCCTCGTCCAGGTCCAGATTAGAATTTTGTTGCAGATTTAGTATCGAGTCGATAGCAGACTGCACTTGTTCGTCGATACTATTATTACCGCTATCCGTCTCGCTACTGCTGCTATTATTCTGCTGGACACCATGCTGATGCAGCACCTGTTGTTGCTGCTGTTGGTGATGGTGGTGATGAATAACGTGGTGATGCGAACTATTTACACTATGTACAACACTACTAACACTGTGGTTCATTAGCATCGTCTGATTTTGCTGTTGTTGTTGCTGCTGCTGTTGCTGTTGGACGATTTGCTGAGTATGCTGATGATGACTACTACCGAACACCGGATACGCCGTATGGTGATGATGGTGGAATGCACGCGAGCCAAATGTAACATTTTCACTATCCAAATTCCCGTTAGCCAATGTAGTTCTTTGCTGTTGTGTCACTACAAATCTTTGTGGTTGTTGCTGCTGCTGATGCTGCAGCTGTTGCTGGAAATCATCCGAATACACCTGATGATTTTTAGAGTTGGTGGTTTTCGATGATCGCATCACATTTTGGTGATTTGATGTTACAGTCGCCGTTGCGTATGCATTTGCAGTTGTCATTTTAATCCCAACCCCCGGATTAAGTGCGCCGCGCATGTAATGTTGTTCAGACTGGAGCAAATGATTCGATGTGGCAACGACGTCGTGTAACGTTGGTACGACTTGAACATTAGGGCACGGCGCTTTCATTCCCTGTGCTCGAGCTACGGTTTCCCGCGATGCTTGCACCATATTCGTACACTCTTGTCCTCGTTTGCTATGCTTGTCCACACGAAATTTCTTTAATGTTTCTAGGCGAGAATCGCTACTCGCCGTCCTTTTCGGTGGATGTTGATTTTGTTGTGATTGCTGTCGTACAGTAGGAGGGGTAGGTGTAGCTGTATTAGGTGGTGGAGAACTAGCGATATCTTCGTCCTTAGCCGCAGGGGATTGTGGTATGCAGCCGAGCTCACGTTGAATACACGCCCACTCGTCATATTCGTCCGGCGATTGATCAGTGGGGTTGGCGGTTTTGTACTGTTGGCACTGTTGCTTTATGGGGGTATTCGAAGATGGTGGTAACGTGGGTGTAGGGGGTCTTTCTTCCAGTTCTTGACGTAATTTTATCATCGATTGCTGTTCTTCCGTCAGAAGCATACGATCAAGCATCATCAATTCAGACGTTTGGACCTCACGCTATTTAATAAATGAAAACATATTAATTTAACTATAAAACAATATGCTAACATCCGGTCATTACCGCACTTTCCTTGAGCAGCAAGTACCTATACTTGTCGACCATTTTGGCAAATTTGTCAATAAAATGCTTAGCAGTTAATTCAAATATCTCGTCAGCCTTGGCGAGATCTTTCTGCGACAGGACTGGCTGATTGTAACAGTGGTAACGTATTAGCCGTTTACAAGCATCTGCCTTATCTCTGAACGGCGTGTGAATGTCTGGTTTCATAGCACCATTTTGGTCTGTATTTAGCTGCTGTTCCAAACTAAATAAAAAGATTTATTTTAAAAAAATGGACTATTCAGAACTTCAAATGTGTAATCATTACCTAAACAATAAACTTGTATAAAGGGATTTATTTAAATGTTCTGACCATTTTAAATTATTATTACTTTTTTATTAAACTTGCAATTTGTTTACAACTTACTATTTAATTACTGCATTGTATATATCTATCCTAATCTTGTACATGATAATGTCCAAATTAATTGCGAGCACCGATTGCTTAAAGATAAGTAGACCAATTTCTTAGAAACTGCAAATTCGATGTTTGCGTTTGGACACAAGATTAGCTTTTCCCAATTTCAACAATAGCGTTTTTAAAATCATTTTACGCGAATCGTATAACAGTCTTCACTAATTTCGACGTTCATTTTCGTATTAATTTTATTTAAGAAACGTACATTTGTTGTTTCGTAATTATGTTTCGATAAGTCGGCTGAAGCGCTTGTTATAAACTAACTGATAACAGTCTCGTTCGAGTATTGTAATTTCTACGCTTAGATAAAAACGACGACGGAGAGAGATGACTTTCGCAAATACTATTTAAGTAAAAAAAGGAACAATTGTATTTTTAAAGAGATAAGTGTACGATTACGGCCTACTTATCTAACAAATGTTTCGCGAATATGGCTCAAATTATTGTAATACGATAATCTTAACAACCCCTAGGGGTTAACTATCAAAAAAATACTATTTTTCGGTCAATCTTCACTATTTTATAAGTATTAAAACTTTAATTTGAGGGTATATTAAAACGCTTTAATAAGTGAAGATTAACTAAATAATAAGTAACGTATATATGCTTGTTGAATTTTTATTTTATATTTCAAAAATATATATTTTAGATATGTACTTACAGTTGCGCCTTGGCGAATGTGGGTAAATATTTGTTCTGTTGTTGCGACGGGGGCGTATCATTAACACTGTTAGCGCTAGAGGGCGACTTTAGCTGCATACCGGAACTGACGACAATCGAGCGTTTGTTAACGGGCGGGGTCGTGCTTGGGGGCGGCATCAAGGTGTGTGGGGAAGGGTTGAGATCACTATTGTTCCCTGATGATGACATCAGCTGCACCCGTGGAGAATGTTGTTGCACCTGAAATTAACACAAAAACATTTACAAATTCGTAGACAACTAAGAAAAATAAATTATCTTGCCTGATGAGGACTAGAATCACACGAACTTCGAACAGATACACTCGATTGAGGAGTTCCTCCTCCCAAAGAAGGCTCACTCTTTGGAAGGGTTGTAACGATCCCTAAAGAGGTTGGATTGATAATGGTCAGTTGATTATTTTGGTAAATAACTTTGTCAGGCGGCAGGAGTTTCCCGGACGCAAGTATCTTCTGTTGTTCAGCGAAAAGTAATTTAAGGGCGTTATGCATCTCAGTATCACCGGGGGTTAACCTTCAAAATAAAAGAATTATTGTATACAATCTACATGTTGATTAAACAGTTAATTACCTCTGAGATAATGTCTGTATCTGTAACTGAATGCTTTTGAGATGTTGTTGTTGTTGAGGCGTGAGTTGTATAGTATGCACTCTTTGTGTTGTTTGTGGTTGTGACTGCTGTTGTACCATGGGTGCCGATTGACTAGTCACCACTGGTACAGGCGCTCCAGTAGCAGACTCGTCCAAAAGTTGTCCCAGAAGATGCTCTACGTCCTGATTAGTTGCGTTCGTTTCCGATACTATAGCGTGATTATTTTTGTTTACTACTTGTGGCGTCTGAGAACCTTGTGATATTTGTATCTTCGCCGTTGTCTTCTGCTGCTGATGGTTAGTACTGTTGTTGTTTTGAATTATATTACTATTGCTACCGTTGTTAGTTAGCTGCACTGAAGGCTGCACAATTGCTGATGGCTGTGATACAGACTTCTGTTGAACTACAGCTGGTTGAGGTTGAACTACTACAGGCTGGGGTTGAACCTGAGGCAAAATCTTTGGTGGTGACTGCAAAGCACTCACCAAACTTGACTTTGTCTCTTTGAAAACAGTATTTACATGCTTGTCCACGATGTTTGTGGCTTGTTTGTTATCCTGCAGGATACTTTTAACGTTTGGATTATTTGACTGTATTTTAGTCACCTTTTTAACAGGTTTAATCTTTGGTGATAATTTAACCATTTTATTATTGTTATCTCCCGTTTGGTTTCCCGCGTCGATGTACTTGTTATTTGAGGAATTTGGCCGCTGCATGAAAATGGTCTGACCATTGACGGTGAGATGACCATTCCTTTTAAGTTGTTCCAATTGTTCAGGAGTAAGGTTGACTACGTAAGAGGTGGGAGGTGGTGTTGGTGATGGTTGTGTAGGGTTTTCAGTGCCATTTTGTTGACTTATAGGTGGGTGATGAATGGTTTGTACTGGTTGCGGATGGACTGTTTGTACTGGAGGTTGCTGTGATTTTTGAAACGGTTGGACTTTTAGAATAGGTTGCGTTTGTTGTAAATTCGAGTGTGAGTGAACTGATTGAGACGGCTGTGAAGTTTGAACCTAAATAATAAAAAAACAACAGTTTGAAAATAAAATCAATTAATTTTAAAATCCACTTCTGAAATGCTTGGGAATCTGTAACAGCAATAATAATAAATTTTACCTGCTGTGACTGAGAATGGACGACCTGTTGCGTCTGGGGCGAGTGAGATATCTGTTGTTGCTGAGCTTGAAATTGTTGCTGTGCAGCCTGTAGCTGTTGTTTCTGGACTTGAGCTTGTACCTGCGCTTGCACTTGGGCTTGAACCTGCGCTTGCACTTGGGCTTGAACCTGCGCTTGCACTTGTGACTGTAACTGTTGTGCCTGAAGTTGGGACTGAATCTGCGATTGGATGGTGGACGGGCTTTGTTGGATTATTGGATGTGACTGGATCGTTTGCGACGAGTGCGAGATCTGCGGTTGTGTATAAATCGGTTGTGATTGAATTGTAGCTTGAAGCGGAATTGACTGAGACGCAGCTAGGAGTGACTGAATCTGCGACTGGATGCTCTGAACTTGTGATTGCAGTTGTTGTTGCGCCGCCTGTTGTTGCTGTAGTTGCGTATGTTGCTGGATATTATGTGACTGAATGGTCTGAAGTGGTTGCGGCTGGACGATTTGCATGGGTTGCGATTGCGCCGCATGCTGTAATGCAGCCGTAATTGGTTGCGACTGGACCGTTTGATGTTGGATTGTTTGCTGAACAGTTTGTTGGACGGTTTGTGGCTGAACAGCCTGTATCTAGAAACGATAAAACGAAAGGTTTTACTACAGAGAATTATTAAGAAAATGATATATATTACCTGCGGCTGGATAGTCTGCTGTATCGTTTGTAGCGAATGTTGTACCGTTTGTGGTTGTACGGTTTGTTGTTGGACGGTCTGTATCGTCTGAGACTGAACCGTTTGCTGCTGGATGGTTTGCACAGACTGTTGTTGGATCGTTTGAACTGTTTGTGAATGTACTTGCTGATCTATCGAAGGTTGCAACACAAGTCCATTCAAACCAAAAATGCTTTGCAATAATAATTGTGACTGCAAGTCTTGGTTAAGTGTGGGGTCGTGTTGTAAGACGAGGCGCCCATCTTCGCCAAAGGCCAGTTTGAAGCCGCCATTTCGTTGCACCACCAGGCCATTATTGATTGTTATGTTAGGTGCTATAAAAGAATTTAAAGGTATACTGGTTTGTGCTGTGGCCGCGGCAGCTGCCTGCGATGACTGAAAACTTGTAGTGTTCACACCACTCTGGAAACTTTGATTGAATACTTGAACCAGGGGTGTTGCAGTAGCCGTGTTCAGCGTTGGTTGCTGCGTCATTGTTGAGATCTGTATGTTACCAATTCGTTTATTCATGTCTGTTGTAGTTTGTTGTATTACATTGGGTTGCGACTGAACTTGGACTTGTTGCTGTTCTTGTATTAAGGGTTGAGGCGTCTCTGGTTTAGAGACAACGGCGTTATGTTCACTCTCACTTTGCGAAGTATCGCTCTCGAATTGAATATCGTCTTCATCGCCGATACCTGACAGTTTCATTATATTTGCCAAGTCCAGCTTTTGCTTCTTCTTTTTCGGTTTTTTCTTTGGAGACGACACCACAATGCTGTTAGTCTGCTGAATTTGTTGTGGTGACTGTTGGTGTTGGTGGTGTTGGTGCTGAGGTGCAGACATGGTTTGTACATTCTGAATTATATGCTGATTTTGTTGTGTCACCTATTTTTGAAACAAAGAGAAAAAACGAATCAATTTTTATTATCAAACGTTTTAGAATTTGATTGAGCTGACCTGTGCAACACTGTGTGGTACTTGGGTAACAACTTGAGCAGGTGACGCAAGTTGCACTCCGTTAGTTAGCACCCTGACCATTGGTTGGCCACCCCGTGTGGGCGTTTGCAACTGCAATAACGGTTGGCCGCTGGGTTGTAGCACGAAGCCTTGAGGAGCTGCAGTTTGCATTTGAGCAGGCAACTTAGTGGGTTGCGGACGTAAAATTAACTGAACGCCGGGTGCTAACATTGGCATTTGATTCAGTAATAAAGGCTGGGCTGTGGGCATTATTGTAGTGGCCTGCTGTGTAGCTGGAATTACAATCTGGGGACTATAATGATTTACATTAGTAAATTTATACATAATTTTTAATTTGAAATGTTTTTTTATTGTATTTTCAACTTACCTTACGCTTGGTTTTGGAGACGGTTGCGGACTAGCAGATGGTTTAGGTAGTATATTGAGATGGGGTTTCAACTTGATCACATTTTGTGATTGGCTTGTCTGAATAGGCCTGGCCAGCAACTGATGATTGTTGTGAATTATTTGCATCACAGGAAAATTTGGTTGTGGTGGTGGTGGTGATTTTAACTGAGGAGATGGCGATTTTAAGCTAACTGGTGAAGAGTAAGGTGACTGTGGATAACCAGGACTATGATTTGATGTATAAACAGGCTGTGGTTGTTTTTTAATTAGATGTAAGTTGTTTGAGCCGATAACTGTGCAGTTGGTATTGAGAGATTCGTATTCGTTGACGATCGAAATTTTTTCGAGCCTATTTTGAGATTGAAAACTGCTTTTTGGCGATTTACACATTTTTGGCAGCTGCTTTGGGGGGTTTGAAGACATTTTTCAAATAAGTTTTATCACAACAGCTTAACTTTCACAAATTGGGGCATTTTTTCTATTGGTTAAGCACACAGAGGTAATATAATTAACAAATTTATTCAACTGGAATGCACTTTTGTTTAACATGTATCCTCATGTTGGAGCGCTATTAACTATGTTACAACTGGCACTACACTATTATTGTTATTTTACACTAGATCACAAACGAAGTATTCGTTTTCATCCAAACTCAAATAATGCCATATTATTGTATGGAACTTGAAAAAGAACCACCCAATACGAGGACATTATTCGTAAGCTAAGGCGAATTTCATTTTCCTTTAAGGCGTTTCTTCGTAACGTTCAATTATTTTATTGCTTATGATTACTATTTAAGCTGTTTCCAGACTTCAGGTAGCACACTTGCCTGCAAAAAACATTCCATTTACAAATTTTCGAAAGAGAACATAACCTCGTGGTAAAGTCAAAGTACGTCTGTAACAAAAGAAACTCGTTAATATTTCATTTAAAATTACTTACTTAATAAGTTTGAGGTTAGATGTTTAAAATAGTTTAAGTTTATTTCGTAACTAAGCGTAATGTGTAGGCATTTGTTTACAAACAAATTCGCAAATTTGCAAACAAAAAGCTGTATCATGAAACCGCCATCTTTTTCGACGTCTCTCTTTTTTTCTTTTTTTCTCCGCCAGGCGAAAAGATGGCGTCCCAGCAAGTTTTCACAAAAAAATCTTATTGATGCTAAATCGGCAATTAAATGTCGAATTATCATAATTACAAAATAATCCGTTGCCAAACCTACTGACCAATTGCCGAGTGGTGGGCTTTTCATTAAAACAATAAAAAATTGAAAGGCATATTATTATCGTGAGGGAGTGGGTGGGGAAATCGAAAGTACAATTGAAAATGGTGGGGATGCAAAAGCTCTTAAAACCGAAAAAGGTGGTAAAACAGCTGTAATAACAAAAAATTGTCGTCTTAATTTAAAAAGTTTATAAAAACACGATCAACGACCTGATACACAATTATATTCTTCATGCAATTCAAAACAATCGATACAAAAGTAAGGTTATCAGGAAGAAGCAAAATAAAAGTGCATTCTACACAACTCTAAATCGTCCTGAGAGTGAAAAATAACTCTGTTTTTGAAAAACGCATCAAAAACAGCCGTTTCAAGCCGGTACGTGACTAAGGAGTCCTACCCACATGATTTTCAAGATAAAATGAATAAAATTTCTACGTACCTTAACAATTTTCACTTCATGGGCTGAAACGGGGTTCACAAAACTAAAATCAGGGAACGCGCGCTTCTGATTGGTTGGCCGTCAGCGTCATTTGATATACAAAAAAATAACATTTACTTTGAGGTTAAAATAGATAAGATAGGAAAATAGACCCTATGTATTCTGCGCATAGGGCCCCTCGATAATTTAGTGGTATCTTTCATTTCATTACATTACGAGGTTTTTAAACTAATAATAATAATTCTTTGGATTCTTGGAAGTGACCATGCAATGATAATTAGGATTCAAATTCTTTTATTTATGATGCGCTGTAAAAGTCAACTTAAAATGTTATTATTACTTAATACGATCAAGTAGCTGCATAATTTATGAGATCAACTTAGTTTTTATAACCAGAAATTCAATAAAGTACAGCTTTTATTTAATTATATAGCTGCTTTTGATAAGTGAATAGGAAACTAGCACATGAAACATAGTTCTCTTACTGTTAAATATTTTTTATGATTATCGTCATCTTGTATTTAATTAAAACCCCTATATATACTCAGTAAAAAAGAAACTTGACTTATTTACAAAATTTATTATTAAAAAAAATTATTAGCTATACACATATTATTAAATTTTTAACAGTTCAGTTTTATGGTTAACTTAAATTCGTAAAAAATTAACAAAAAGATCAAGTCCGCAATTAATATTGGCTCTTTTACAGGAAGTATATTTAGATATTAGTGAAGTACGAAAATTGTTAACAAGAGACAAAAATTATAAAATTTTTCCATACCTTATACAAAATATTACTTAGCCAATTGCTTTAATAGTAGAGTGGGACACTGCCTAATTGCATCATATAATATTTAAATTAGTGAAATATGAAAATTGTTAACAAAAAAGAAAAAAATTATCACATTTTTTTAATTAATATGCCTTATACAAAATAATATTATTCAACCAATTACTTTATTAGTTGAGTGGGGCACTGCTGAGTTGTTTCATATTTTACAACAAAGTGTTCCTTTGAAAAGTGCCGAAATTTTAGTTAATTATATTTTGCTCAAGAACACTCCATAGTTGCCATTGAGTTAGAATTTTCATTAAATGAATGAATGTTTAAAGAAGTATTGGCACTTGTACTTTCATTGGTAACTAAACTTGTAGTTCCATTAATTTCATTGTTTGTTGTACTACTTTCCTGATTTGTTGTTTCTTCCCAGTTAATTTTGAAACGTGTTACTCTTGGCTCAGATGCTAAAATGTTCCTAGTAACCTGCTCAAATAAGAGAACAATTTAAAAAAATATGTATTTACTCCATTGATAAAGTTATGCTGATAACCAACCTTATCAAACTGTGGTGGACTGGGGGGATTTTCTCGTAACTCAACATCGCTGTATTCATTATTAATAAAATAGCCTACACGAATGAATTCCTGCCCTTTGTAACAACAAGTTAATAACACAACTGTTACACCTATAGCGTCGTTTTCGGGTATTCGAGTAACATCAGGGGGATCAGCCTAAATACATAAAATTTTTATAAAGTTCTTGATTTTTAAATCTTGCTTACTCACTTGAAAAACAAACATATGTTTTCCCTCTGGAATAGGTCCTACATATACAGAATCTAATATTTGATCGTGTTCTTCACTTTCTGCACTGCCCACGTAAATCATTTTCCATTCTAAATCTAAAAAGTTAGGGCAGTTAACATTTAAAAGTAAAGTTAAAATGGACAGTAAATTTTATTAATGTTTTACCCTCTTTAAGTTCCTCTATGCATTCAAAAGTAATTTCAAATTGGAATGGATTCAGAAAAGGACTGGGATTATCCATCACGGTGATATTACAAAGCTGAACTTTAGCCATATTACTTAGAAAAATATTTATTTCCCAGTTACGGAATTGTAGAGGTTATAATTGACAAAGACTTTTTAATAAGGAAAAACTACAGCTAAATCTTTTATAATTTTGCTTGTGTGACTATTATAATACGATGGATGATGAGTAGCGTTTTATGTTGCAGAGAAATACTTTCGACTTTATCTAACAGAACTTAAAGAAAATAATAACAATCGCTCGGGCACTACTATTATAGGCGGCAAAATCAACTGAACTGGTTGAAGTTTGACGATTTTTGGGAGAATTACTGTTTCTGATAACTTAATAACTTCAAATATTACTATACATCTTAACATTAAGGTTGCGTTCGCATATTTGATCCTTAGTAATTTTTATTACTGAAAATGTACTTTAAAGTATTTTTTTGGCTACATTAGTTTTAAATAATTCATGAGTTAGTTTATTTATAATCTTGCACTAATAATTTTATTATTTTAACATCTATAATTATTTTTGTAGCATCGGTTTATTTGAAAACAACCTAGACACTTGTTTAACCGCGATTTTCAACTGTTAAAAAGTCAACCTGAATATATAGATGTGCGTTATTCTTGTGCAATTTTGCTGTTTTCCAATATATGATTGCAGTATTTTAAGGTAATATGAAAATTTTACGATATATTACATTAAGAGTCCAAAAGTTAGGGTATTCCGGATTAAAAATATCAAACAGATTGATTTTGCGTCTAGTACAAGATAAAACGCTTTATTTATAATAAATGATTTCAACACTTTCATGAATGCAGTTCCGTATCGATTTATAATTCCCTTACATTTTTTAATTAACTGTATAGATTTAAAATCGTTTAATCTGCTATACCATGGCTTACGAAAATTTTAACATGTATAGCAGAGAAGGTATTAAAAAACCAAAGGTGATTGTGGAATCAGTGAAAAGTGATACTATTTATACTCCATTATGGATAAACGGTAAGAGTAATATAAGTTATAATTTAATTATAAATATGTTTATTAAAGCATTGTTATTTATCAGATTTTTGCAATAACATGGAGTTAAAAAAGTCAATTTTCTCAAGATATTACTTAAGCGATGCAAGACTTAACTCTGTACTTAGAATGACTGACAAAGAATTACAAGACACAACTGAAATTGTCATGAAATTTGTGAACAGTCTTTATGGAGACTCCATTGCCCAACAGTTAGGTCTTACAAACAATAACTCTGTTAATCCTGAAGAAGCACTGAGAAAATGGAACATAAAGGATTATATGGCCATGGGAAATGCATATCCATATAATTGCGTATTTAATTTAATGGAAAATGCTCCTTTGAGATCATCTGATCCAAGATTGGTCAAATTAGGATTTGGGAATTTTTCTCAAAACACCTTTCAGACTAATACCTCATCTTCTACTAACAGCATAGGGAAAAACAGGACAGTTGATAAAGTTGGTTATTGTCATCATTTAAATGTATCAAAAATTAATAAAGAAACACAATCAACTGATAAAATTCCTGTTAAAAATGAAAATAATTATAAAGGAAAGCCACTTGTGTCATTAGAAGTAACCACCTTTGCAAATGGGAAACTTGCTAAAATGAATTGTTTAAATAAAACTAACGAGAGTAGCATACAAAAAACAAAGTTATTCTTCACTTTTACAGAATATCAGAAACTTCTGAATGTTCTCCATAAGATTGCTGCAGCACGTACTGAAAGTGCATCCTCACAAAAGCCCATGGACATTATTGAGAACAGATGCAACGTGTGCTTTAACTTTAATACTAACTGTAACAGAAATGTAAATTATACAAATAATACCGTACAAACAAACTACAAGGGGAATGTGGAAAATACGTTTGCATATACTAATACGACAGAAACTTCAAAGTTAATCTGTGAAAAAAAAAATGAGAGTATGTCGCATAATCAGAAGTATTGTATGTCAACTTATACAAGTCCTGAAACAAAAGCAAATGTCTGTAGACCTAACTTAACGAATGTTTACCCAGTTAATGAATCAAAAGAAAAATATAAACCCAGTAATCACAGTGATTTATTAGGTTGTAATGAAAGATGCCCAAAAACGCGCATTACTCTTTCAAATCAAAAGTCAAAACCATCACACCTTTATGACTACGAAGGCAACAAAGAAAATTTGCAGCAAAATAAGTTATTTACCAAACGAGTAGTGTCTCGTCCGTTTCAGAATTGCTATGAACACAACGATTTTGTTGAATGTAAAGATTTTGATAGTTTTCAGTTAAGTATGAGACAGCAAATTAATTCTAAACACAACAAAAAAATTGCTGTAACAAAGAAAAATAAAAATTTAGAATCTGAAAAGAACAAAATTCAGTCTGGGTCTGTTCAAAAGAAGAACAAAGTTTTGACCACTCAAAGCAGAAATGTACAAGTTATCCCTTTAGCGCCGATTACAACTACAACTGTTAAAAGCCAGAGAACAAATAAGAAAAAAAATTGTAGGGATAGTAAAGATTCTGATATAAACAATATAATTGGGGATGAATTTTTAGAAAATACAATGGATGTGATTGATTGGATTGAAAAAAACAGTGACACTTTAAACACTGTCCAATGGTGTAAGTCGGTAAAGGAAATAAAAAACGACCTGTTAAAGGGAATAGATGAAAAAGAAAATAACAATGAAAGTGAAAACAAACCTTTAACCGATAAGACAGGCACAAAAAAGAAAAGCTATTTTAATGACAATAAGAGAAGCACTCAAACAGACGAAAAAGCAAATCCAGATATTAAAAAAGAAAATCATGAAAATAAAATACTTAAAGAAAATGTCACGCAACCTAACAATAATACAGCACAATTCTCTCAAATATCATATGAAGATAAAATTGTACTTGGAAAGAATCAAATTGCAATTCCCAGTACAGAAGCAGAAAAAAATAAAAACGAAACTGAGCACGAAAACAATAGTAATAAATCTAATTCTATCTGTGATCAAATTAAAACAACACCAAAACCTGAAGATGGTACAGAACATCAGAAAAGCTGCGATTCTGCAGAAGGTATTTTCCTCATTAAAAATATTTACTTATTCCTCAAGAAAAATGTTAAAATCATTGCCTCATTACTTTTAATTTATATAATTACCACGTAGGTAATTATATTGAATTAAATGTCAATTAAATTATCATTATTATAAAGTTATGATATTTTAGGAACAGACTTGCTACCAAATTCTAATGAAGATAATAACCAAAAGGCTTATCCTTACAATTTAAGGAAAAGAAAGCCGGTTGTATATTTTTATCCATCAGGTACTATTCAATATTTCACGTATCATGTAGGTAATGCATTGCTTATTCTAGTGTTCAGAAGAATTGTACCGAATAGAGAGTGCAAGAGGGCAAAAACAAGAAATAATAATAAAAAAGAAACTAATTAAAAAGTTAGTAACACTTTTCTTGAGCTTTAAAAAACCTAAGAGTATTTTATATCTTTATCAAAATCTAATCATTTATTAGTCATTTTCTGTGATCAAGATAGGTGCACATTTTTCAAATAAATGTAAGTAAACAAGTAAGTTAAGATGCGTTAAAAAAATGTATATTTTTAATACTAACAGACATTACATACATGTGCCATAAAATTAATGGTAGCTTTTTTATGCCTTTTGAAGGAGGAATACCTTTAAGTTATAGTTAGAATTACGCTTTAATTTGCTCTACATTCGACGATTAGCTTTTTTATTTTAACGAGTTAGTTTATTTTTATTTATTTAGAAAACTGAAGTAAGCACATTTTATTTTTTCAAAGGGCATAAAATTTAGTGCAAGAGATTTATTTTGAGTTTTATTTTTATAATTTCAGTTTATGTTTATGTTCTTTGAATTCCTTTTTCTATTGTTTTTTTTAATTATAAGAAATAAAACCATATTTACCTTACAACATTGTTTATTAATTTAATACGTTCATACATATACGATATATATATTTTATATTTACTTTAAAACAAAGTAGCACTTTAATATAAGTTAAAAAAAAATTAATGAAATTTGCTGTTTAAAAATCTACNTTAACATAAATACATGAAAAACAACGTAAATGTGTCTCGTCGTCCACAAATCCGTACAATGAAATATTTGTATATCTTGTACACACAGATTATTTTTAGTTAGTATGTTCATAATATGATAAAACCATATAAGGATCACTGCAGTAGTAATGTATATGTCAGGGCTTGAAGATGATAAGTATCGAAAATATAAGGTTTTTCTTTCGGTAATTGTGAAACTATATCTACTGATTAATGCAAGACTTTTCAAACTTATACTTAATCTACCAAAGTATAAATCGAATAACGATAAAGATAAAGTCAGTTGTTTGATATAATATACCAAATAGTTTAGTTTACCTATAGACTATGCAATTATGCATATGTAACTGTAAAAGATGCATCGTGTATAATGCGAAACAAATTAATTAGCATTATGCATAATAAATATCCCTCTCATTTCATGCAGGGGAGCAAAACTTAATTTATATATATGAATCATCCTGGATTTCATGATCAGCTTAAAAATACAATCTTTTTGCGATGATATCACGATTATCAAAAATAAATCTATGTATATCTAATCCATCTTTTATATTACCGTTTTTATCGATTACTACAACAATAAAAACTGTGCCTTTTATTCGAATCAGGGACATATAATTGTAGTAACAGTTTATAAAAAGTAAAAGTACTGCGTGATTAGGAAACAATCAAAGAATGTACTTTTGTAAAAGGTAATAGCTTGTGAAATCGTTATGCACATGAGAATATTGTTGCAACTCAAATATGTGAATTTTTTATTTTTGTTCGCCCTGTATATAACGCGCAATATGCCTTTCATTAGCCGGAACAAGTCCTTTCAAAAATCGTTTGATTCGTTCGAGATTGCCCTCTTTTTTCAATTGAACTTCCTGTTGAGCGTTAACTTAAGGATAAGAATGTAGAAATAAATACTCACAAACTTTGCAATAGTGTGTAACCTTCACGGGACATTTCTAAAATTGTCGGTAATTATTTTACCACTAAATAGACAATAAAAAAGCAAACACAGCACAAAAAGTACACAAACAACTTCTACATTTTTGTCGAGTGTATGCGAAAATGAAATTAATAAGTTTTATACTGATTATGTAACTTAAAAAAAACTTTTTTACTTTAGTTTTGATAATTTAATAAATAACAAGACGCGCCGTATGTAGTTGTTATCCGTTAATTAATATTAGAAATAAAAAGGAAAAAACACTCAAAAAAAAACTCCACTGGTAATATTAACACCAGGTTGTAAAATAAAAGTTATTACACACTTACAATAATAACTGACTTACATATCTAGAATAAAGCTAACTTCATTGTTTCTATTTTCGATAGAACGCTGCAAAGAGATAATATTATATAGTACAAGCACTATATAAACAATAGTCGTATCTGTATAAATTTTAATTCCAAGAAGTGTTTTATTTTTAATTTAGGAGTTAAGATAAACTTTAATGGGTACAAAACATTAGTTTTGTCATTCATTAAATGAACAAATGGAAAATAATTCTAACTGCAAAACGATTGACTATTTATAAATTAAATTCTTAAATTTATTAAGTTCAGGATAAAAAATTATTTTTTAAGTGTCACCAGATACAATAACAAAAATTGCTCTATCATGATACTTTATTATTATCTAATTAAAATCTTTCGCACATCGGTATATACCTGGAGATCGTGTTTGGCGAGCTGCCTAAGCTGTCAATGTCATCTAAACCTCGATGTATTGATATGCTGTCAAGATCGCCACTGTCTTTCAATGCTAGATATTCGGGGGTTTCGAGCTCAGTCTTCGTAGGCTTCCTCCATAATTTAAGTAACAGACTAGAACCAACGACTGATACTGAACTCAAAGCCATGGCAGCAGATGCCATCCATGGTTGTAACATAATACCAAAAGGGCTAAACACGCCCGCGGCCAAAGGAATACCTAGCAAATTAATAAAATACAGTCAAATAAAATGTACATTAGTCTAAAAAGAATCAGAGAATTCTTACCTAATAAGTTGTACATGCTCGCAAATATGAAATTTAGCCTGATTCTTTCAACTGTCTTTTTGGACAGTTCAAGGCAAGCATATACATCTAGCAGATCGTTTCTCATAAGTACAACATGGGCAGCTTCGACGGCTACATCTGTTCCTGCTGCTATTGCCATGCCTACATCTGCTTGGGCCAAAGCAGGAGAATCATTAATGCCGTCCCCGACCATACAGACTTTAATGCCCTTACTCTGTAATCTAGAATATAAAGGAAAAAATGTAATCAGTGTTGAAACAACGGGAAACAATCAATTACCGTTGGACCCTTGCAACTTTGTGCGATGGAAGAACTTCAGCATACACTTTACTTATCCCAACTTGACGAGCAATACTGACAGCAGTTTGTCTGTTGTCGCCTGTTAAAAGAATCACCTCAAGACCCATCTTTTTTAGGGAATAAATGGCTAAATGAGCCTCAGGTTTGACGGTATCGGCCACGCTAATCATAGCGACAATGTTTCCTGTAAGGTCGTAGTTGCAAAATAACTTATATAAATTTTAAATGGTACTAATTACTTACCGTTAATTGCACAAAGAACGGCCGAGCGTCCTTGTTGTTCTTCTGTCACCATTTTTCTATTCACATCTTCCTGTAATGAAATGCCGTTCCTATTCATCCATTCCCTATTTCCCACTATAACTTTGTATTCGTCCAAAAGTTGCTCTTGTTCAGGCGGCACGCCAATCAACTGACCCAACTTCATATTTTGCGATGTACTTACTTCTACTTGGACTTCATTAAGTGAAAAAATTCCCGAACTACCCGCACCCGTCAAACTAAGAAAATTACTTAACTCTTTCGTTTTCTTACCACAATCTAACATGGTCTGAATATTAGAAACATTACTTCTTAAACCACAGCCAGGTACAACCTAAGTTAACGTCCAAATAGTTATCGGCTTATTACTTTAAGTAGTAATTTTACTTACTTGAAAGTTTGTACTAATACCAGTTAAGTCACATTGGAAGACTTCTTTAACATACTTAACGATAGCAGTCGCGATTGGATGTTCGCTGTTCATTTCGGAACATCCAACAGCTGCTAAAATTACTGCAGGACTTAATGTGTCCCCTTGGAGCCAAATATGAGCTACCTCTGGCACCCCTACAATAATTAATATAATATATAATAATTTCATGCAAAAGTGTTTAGAAAGTTGTTAATAAACCTTTTGTAATGGTGCCAGTTTTATCAAACATGATGGCTTTGACTTTATGTGCGTTCTCGAGGGGCTCGGCCCCTTTTATCAGGATACCATTCATAGCGCCGACTCCTGTTCCTACCATGACGGCAGTTGGAGTGGCTAAACCCAGAGCACAAGGACATGCGATGGCTAGAACGCTCAAGGCGCATCTGAATACAAATTGAAGGAGTATTTCGGTATTATTAAAACCGTGTTTTTCTGCCTCAGATATAGGCAAATAAGAAATATTAATTGAGCCTATTATGGACCATACGATGAGCGTGAGAAAACTCAGAAATACTACAGTGGGAACAAAGTATCCTGCAATTTTATCAGCCAACTGTTGAATAGGTGCTTTAGATGTTTGAGCTTCTTCAACTAAATGCACAATTTGGGACAGAGTTGTGGCCTCGCCAGTGTGGGTAGCTTGTATTATAAGTAAGCCGTTTTGATTTAGGGAACCCCCAATCACATTGCTGTCAATCTTTTTTTGAACAGGCATGCTTTCACCTGTTATAAGACTTTCGTCGCACATTGAACTACCCTACAAAAAAAAAGGCAGAATAATAAATAGTTTATACGAAAATAACTAAAAGACCACAACAATTTTTGGACAACGGACACGTGTTTCGCATGAGACATGTCTCACGTGCCCGTTATTTTCAAAAAAGTGTTGTAGAGGGTTGAGTCTCTTAGCTATAAAAATGGAATAAGAAGAGCTAAAAAGTAATGACTTGCAATGGCTTACCTGAACAACTTTTCCGTCAACTGGCACTTTAGTTCCTGGTAGTACCTTCAAAAAATCACCCCTTTGTACCAGATCTACGTTAACAAGTCTTTCGTTTTCTATCTCCCCATTTTTACCAATGTCAACGAGTAAAGCTTCAGTAGCTTTTAACGATAACAGTCTGGACAATGCTTCAGATGTCTTTCCTTTAGCGATATTTTCCAACCATCGTCCGAGACTTATGAACAAAAGTAACATAGGGGGCGTGTCGAAGAAGGTCTGTGGCGATGTATGTTGTCGCAGAATCATGGCAGCCGTTACAACACAGACACTATACGCGTATGACACTGACGTTGCCATAGCTATTAGCACGTCCATGTTAGTCGTATGATGTTTTAGGGCTTTCACGGCCTGTACGAAGAAATGCTTTCCTCCAAAAATTAATACAGGAGTGGATAAGACCCACATGATAAGGTTTTCCAGAGATAGCCCGGGAACCACGCAGCACATATCTTCGTGAGATAAGTTGCCAACTGACATAACCACCATAAAATACGTCATTGAGATCATGCAAGGTCCGCCGAATATGAGAGACACTAAAAACGCATTCCTCCACTTTCTAGTCTCCTCTTTTTGGTTTAGATAATCGGCGTCCTTCGTGGCACTAGCTAAGTCCGCGTTGTAGCCTAATTTTTTAATAGCATCGATTATGGCTCGCGGTCCTGTTATGCCAGGATCGTATTTGAATTTTCCTTTGTGTGTGGGCAAAGCAACTTTGGCCACACGAACCCCTGGAAGCTTGCAGACATTTGATTCAATTTTGTGCACGCAACTTGCGCACGTCATCCCTTCAATTATTAGGTCAACTTCTGATTCACCAGCGCCCTGTTGTTGCAATACCGTCGCAGGGAATCCCATGTCGGTAATAGATGCTGCTATTACCGATGGCGATACTAAGCTAGGGTCATACGTTACATCTCCGCGAGCTGCTAGTAACGATACCAGTATATTTTCGCAGCCTACAATTTTTTGAAAATAAATTATGGGTACGTTTAAATTTGTTGGAAGAAAATGCTTAAATACCTTGAATCTTCTTGCAATGTTTCTCGATCGCTGAAACACATGAGCCGCATGTCATTCCTTTAATTTGTAATTGGCATTTTTCGAATTTAGATTCCCCATCATCGCCTTGAAGAACGTTTGCAAAACCGTTTGTTTTCATACTCTTTTCTGGAATATTTAACGTGAATTAAAATATAACCACAATTATCGGTCATTGTTTTACTTTTCTTCTTTGTAAATTTTCCATTTACCGATTTCACCATCGCTTCAAATCCCATGTCTTCTATCATGTCCGCAATGTCGTCTGGAGACACTAGATTTGGAACGAACTCGACTATCGCCTCTTTATTCTTTAAGCTGACTTCTATCTTTTTCACGCCCTCTTTAGCCGATACCATACCTGTAAAATACATAAACACAATTTGTATTAACTTTATCGTTCTTTTTTACCGAGTCACGTTACCGTTTTATTACCTTCTATGCCTTTAACACACGTATCGCATGTCATACCCTCTATACCTAGGACGCATGTACTAACTTGTTCGCTAGTACTTGCGGTAGCAGTATCGCTGGAACCCCCTAAAAGGGGCAGTGAAGCTTCAAAACCCATATCATCTATAGCCTCACATATATCGTGTGGATTCAAAATACCCGTATCGTAATGTATTAGTGCTGAATTTTCTTCTAAATTCACCTGTTAATAAAAAATTATTGTATCTTACCGTTAGTTATAATTTTATTATTGGATGAATCAGGAAATTAAAACTTTGATCACATGGAAACTTCGTTCTTACTTTAATTTTGTTTATGCCTTGTTTTTGACCAATGGTTTCTTCAATATTTCGGACACACGATTGACATGTCATGCCCTTTATGTTAATTCGTACCACCCCTTCTGCTTCGACGTCGCCCAGTAAGGGAGTCTGCACTGAAACATGATCACCCCTGGGTGACAAATGACTACCCTCATATGCTTCATACTTCTTATTCAAAAGAGGTTCAAACCCCAGATGGTCCGATACATTCCTTAAATAAATATAGAAAAATGTAATTAGAATTGATTATTGAAAATGTAGATAAATAATTTTTTTGCGCTATTTACAACTTACTAGTTACCAGGCTTAATCTCAAGGTAAATTAAAATATGAACTGGTCATATGCCTACTTTGGATGTACGTGATTGGAATTAATTTCAACATTCGTTCAATCTCATTAATTATATAACTCACCAATTATTTACATCAAACAACAACGGAACTTTGTCGTTGTCCATTTCGATTCGCACTTTCAACTATAACTAACTATTGAATAGAAGCACAGAAAATCCACGTTTTTGCGTTATGTTACGTTGAGAAGGCTGAATTTCGTCAAATGTTGTAAATTAATTGATAGAAGTGTTGTTACTTATTATTAAGATTATCACAAACAAACAGTGTCACAGCCACTGCGTAGAGTTAAGTTTCACTAGTATTGGCGTACATACTTATTTAAATTTATTGGTAAACTCAACCGTGGTTTTCTGTGTGGTGAAATATAAAAAAGATAATCGGTTATATGAAGACATCCATTCTTTAGAAAATAACAGGAAACATTTTTCTCAGTGCACTGTTGCGGTGAAACTTTCTAAATGATTATAGGCGATTAAAAATGCCCAATAAATATTATCTATGTACACAAAAACATAAATTAACTTAACATAAATACATGAAAAACAACGTAAATGTGTCTCGTCGTCCACAAATCCGTACAATGAAATATTTGTATATCTTGTACACACAGATTATTTTTAGTTAGTATGTTCATAATATGATAAAACCATATAAGGATCACTGCAGTAGTAATGTATATGTCAGGGCTTGAAGATGATAAGTATCGAAAATATAAGGTTTTTCTTTCGGTAATTGTGAAACTATATCTACTGATTAATGCAAGACTTTTCAAACTTATACTTAATCTACCAAAGTATAAATCGAATAACGATAAAGATAAAGTCAGTTGTTTGATATAATATACCAAATAGTTTAGTTTACCTATAGACTATGCAATTATGCATATGTAACTGTAAAAGATGCATCGTGTATAATGCGAAACAAATTAATTAGCATTATGCATAATAAATATCCCTCTCATTTCATGCAGGGGAGCAAAACTTAATTTATATATATGAATCATCCTGGATTTCATGATCAGCTTAAAAATACAATCTTTTTGCGATGATATCACGATTATCAAAAATAAATCTATGTATATCTAATCCATCTTTTATATTACCGTTTTTATCGATTACTACAACAATAAAAACTGTGCCTTTTATTCGAATCAGGGACATATAATTGTAGTAACAGTTTATAAAAAGTAAAAGTACTGCGTGATTAGGAAACAATCAAAGAATGTACTTTTGTAAAAGGTAATAGCTTGTGAAATCGTTATGCACATGAGAATATTGTTGCAACTCAAATATGTGAATTTTTTATTTTTGTTCGCCCTGTATATAACGCGCAATATGCCTTTCATTAGCCGGAACAAGTCCTTTCAAAAATCGTTTGATTCGTTCGAGATTGCCCTCTTTTTTCAATTGAACTTCCTGTTGAGCGTTAACTTAAGGATAAGAATGTAGAAATAAATACTCACAAACTTTGCAATAGTGTGTAACCTTCACGGGACATTTCTAAAATTGTCGGTAATTATTTTACCACTAAATAGACAATAAAAAAGCAAACACAGCACAAAAAGTACACAAACAACTTCTACATTTTTGTCGAGTGTATGCGAAAATGAAATTAATAAGTGTACCGACGCGAACTTTTACTTCAAAATAATGTAAAGCTGGTTCTTGAAACACTCACGACTATATACGAATACGTACAGCGGAACGGCTTAAACTATGCTAATGCTAAATAAGAGAAAGTTTACTATTAGTCCAATCCAGTTCGTTTGTATTTATTTTTAATATTATGATACATTACATGCTTTCAGTTACGTTTGGCGCGATTAATAACTTCTTCAATGTGAGCAAAATTTGTGGACGGTAGTAACAATGACCTTGAAAGATAATTCTTAGGTTTTACTTGCGGTTTTACCGTCATCCGTGGAAAATTTGTTACCTCATTTCAGTCATAATATAAGTCTTACTTAGGAAGCTGTTGTCCTAAAGTGGAATCGTATAGATTTAGAAATTCTCATTCAGAATAGCGAAACAGTTAAAAAGCTGCACAAACCAAAAAAAATTTAATATTTTCCTTAATTTTTGCTGCATTTTGTAGATTTTTATCTTTTAATAGAATATAATTTATATTCTAATAAATACGTGTTTGATTTGTTATAAAAGTAGGACAATTAACAATGTTTTTCGAAAAACAAATCTTTCAATTTTTCATAAAGTGAAGATTGTACATAACAAAAAAAAACAGTTTAAACTTGCAAACGGCAGTTTTTAAAACAAAAAGAATACACAAATGACATTTTAGAATGCAATATCAAACATACGAGTACGTATTAGTATGCATATTATCGCCTTTTTTATGATAACTGGAGCTTGTTTAAGCATATAATTAATATTGGTAATTTTTTGTTACATTATTCAAAGGAATTTTTATATGATAANTACTGAGGAAATGAACAAAAAAAAATGAAATAATTACTATTAACTAAAAGAAATTTCGTTTTGATGTACTATTTCTTGATATATTATTTATCATTCATTAATTACTATCTATCTGTCAGCAAATTATTTTTTTTTTAATTTAAATCACACCTACCTAAAGGCATACTATATTTTGTTTATTTCTAAATACTTTAAATTTTTTCTCGAAATTTTAAAAAGTTTTATTAACAATAGCTAAAGTATAAAAATAAATTCCTTTTTTTACTCTTAAAAGTGAAATGTAAAAGACCACACACCTATTTATAACAAAGTACTTCTTTATGCAATTTCTCGAATAATTGCTGCTGTGAAACATCGTGGAAATCATCGATTTGCAACACTTTTAACACTAGCTGCAAACAAAACTTTTTTTCGAACTAAGCGCATTTGCAAATTGTTGTTTTTATCGTTGTGTTTTTGCCCCCTTCTTCCCTTTTACAATCGCGCACTACATTTTTATCTAAATACAATTGTTTTATTTCTGACTAATTATTGATAGCGGTCAAATTTTTACAATTCTTCCCCATTTGTGTTTACAATACGATCAGACGTTTAGGTGTAAACAATTACTATTGAAAAAATGCTAAAATCAAATGTTTTCGCATACATTTTTTCTTTCTATTCTTTTTTTTTTCGTTAAATTGAATACCTCAAATGTGTATCATTTTAATTACCGTATACACATTGGAGGCTAAAATCGTTACAACTTGCATTTTATAGAGAAACAAAACAGTAATTGCAATAATAATGACAATTTAAAAAGTAAAATATTAATGTTTGTATTCTTAAATTAGAATGTTATCGTACAGAAGTATAATAGATGATTATGAAATTTGTTTGTTTTATAACTGCAACAAGAATTCGTCACATAACGAGATTAAAACAATTGAAATTTATCTGGAAGAAAAAAATTTCAAATTTTTCACAAATATTAAACCCACACTGCTATTGTTTTTCTGGATTGCATATATATTAAATTTGAATTTCATCCTAAATATTAAAAAAGGAATTTATAAAAAATTAAAATTTAAATACATATTCATGACTTGTCTCTTTGATATTTATTTAGAATTACTGCGCATAAATTTAACAGAATATGCTTATCTTTTTAAAAAAAGATAAAAACAGAAAATGTTTAAACTAGCTGAAAATAGTAAAACAATTGTTCTATCAGTAAGACACTGATAGTGACTTTAAAAACCTTTTGCTGATCTAAGATTCTAATCATTGTGTGTGCTATGACAAGTAATTAAACTATTGTCGTAGATAATGCTTTTCAGTATAAATAGATAAATTATCCAGTGTACTATTTGAATATGAATAAATAGGTGGAAGTATTATACTTTATATAATTAGAATTAAACACCAATGCTGTTTCACCAATTTTTATTTCAGTACTTGACAATTTATTGTTTGGATCCACAGCAATCATTACCAAGAGTACAACCTAAAATTAAGAACTTTATTTACAAATTAAGTACACCTAATAATAATCACTGTCGATTGAAACGATATAATGTCGAGTTTTGAAATAAAAATTGGTGTTGAATTACACTTTTGTAAATTATCAATGATATATTTTACACACATTCTAGTGAAAGTCTTAGGTATCTTAGGTATTGATAACTAAGAATGATTACTTTGTATTTCACTTTGAGATAAAGAATGAATATCATTAACTTATGTATTCACACTGCAAAAATAATATTATTTTTAACATCATAGTAAATTTGTGTATATGCCATATATCACAAGTTATTAGTAAGGACAATAGGCTCGTACGAAACTTACTTTAATAATGAATAACTTGCTTCTGGGATTATGACATCAACATATTCAGATCCTTCAGACTGTTTTATAACAGTACCGTCAATTTTTTGTAGTTCTATTTTAAACTTATTCAATTCCTCTTCAGGTTTAATGTTAGCTGAAATAAACGATTAATTAATTAAATATATAAAAGGCCATTTACTTGGCGCTTTACGAATACTCACTCTTGGGTATAAATCTCACTACATTTTCGGCTTTCTCCATTATATTTAAAGTTCTTTGTTAGTAATAAGGAAGTCTTTTGTGTAACTTAAGGTCTAGTGGCAGAAAGAAGGGTTTGAGTATTTTAAACAAAACAGTGTGATACTGTACACGACGACTTTTAAACACACCTATTCTACGTATGCTTTTAGGCACAAAAATATACTACATTTCAGATTTATTATTAAAAATTGTTTAAATTTGGTTATAAAAACATTTCCCGTTTTATGTCAACATGTCAATCTAACGCATAGATAATAGATACACAAAGGGTAACGTCACAGATGTTTGGTTAACGACATAGATAAGTTAACGACATGTCAATAATTTGAGGACCATTGAGGGCAAATGAAAGTTCCAAAGATAGTACAAATATTGCAAAGAGGATTTAAAAACACGTAAAAACAAATTTTTCAAAATTAATTATCCATTTTTCTACAGTTTGTTTGTCGTGTGTGTTCAATTAATTTAAAAATGTAAAGCTGTAATTCCTGGATATTGCAGTTCTGTAATCGACTAGACTATCTATGAACTAGGCTGATCCAACAAATCTGCCTGATCAATTCATAGAATAACTAAAAATTATTAACTTCCCTGTATCTATGGTATCTGTCAAACACTTAACCAAACATATTAATTAATTGCTTACAGCTGTTTATAACCAAAAATTTGAAATAGTTTTGCAAATACTAATATAAAACTAAAAATATGACAAAACTAATGGAGTGGCTTTTAGCAGTTGGAAGCGTTTTTGCAGTGTGGTTTGCTTTAATTACGAAAAAGGTTGAATCATCATTTACAAAACAGTACTTCACGCTTATCTTTTATTCTCCCTTATTTTTTGGAATTAGTTTTGTGGTAAGAATTTTTAATAAGTTTGAATTATTTACATATTTGATTTGTATTTATGTTTTGTATTAACTTAATGTACAGTAGTAATAAAGTACAACATTTTGTTGAATTAGATATATGCAGCTGTGATCGTTTTGTACCGAACGTTTACATTTAATAACTGTGAGGAAGCAGCTAGTGAATTACAGAAGGTGAGAGTAAGGTCTAATAGAAACAAAATTTACTTATGAACGTAATTGTAGGAAATAGAAGAAGCGAAAGAGGAATTGAATAAATTAGGCTATAAAGTTCCATTAAAAGTGAAATAGTCTGTCATACATAAAAATGCTATGTCAATTAATGAGTAAGTTGACTAAAATTAGTATTTTAAAGTATGGGAATGTAATTTAAGGACTGTAAATAAGTATATGTGCATCATATAGCAATATTTTTCATATTGACATAAGACAGCACAATGAACATTTATGAATACATAAGACTTATTAATTTTTGTTTTTGTTTTTGTTATAGCAAGTACAGATAATACTTTTAATAAAATTTGCAGTTGGGAAATTATGGAATATCATTAAAATGAATTAAGGTTAAACATAACAAACTACATTTAAATGTTTCAAATTTTATTTAAACACTACATCTGTTTCATAAATAATTAAATGAAGACTTATAAGGTGTAAACAAAGTGTTTAAATGGAACTTTCTGAAATATTTAAGAGGACTTTGTTGTACTTAATCTTTATGTATTTGGTAATAGTAATCCATCTTATTAAAGTTGGAAATTAAAATTGATTTTTATGCCCTTTTATAAGAATTTATTAAGCCGAAAAAGCTTCCATATTATTTGGTATTATCTATTTTTGAAAATTATTTATTTTAAAATCTTCAAATAATCGTTTTTATAAATAAATTTAAGATTTTTCTAATTACACGTCATAAAGTAATACCCATAGATGGCGACACATGTCTCTTTATTTATAAATTCATTTATGGTTGCCTACTTTAAGGATTAGTTTTTACTTTAATATTGCTCCAGTTATTATTTTTACATTTTCTTCTTTGTTAATATATGGGTAAGCTTGCAAACAATTTTGTTTTAAATATTAAAATTAATATTTCAAAAAGCCATTGCGTGTATCTAGAATATTTTTAAATTTACTTATTTTGTTGCCGAAATTTTTTATAAAGATGTAATTTTATTTATTGTTTATCTGACGGGGGAAATAACATTTGATTTTATTATGAAAGGAACAACGGTAATAAGATAATAGATAATGTGCAAGTTGCGTTTGTATAAATGTGTTACGATGACCTTTAATCGTAAATCACAGGTGTTCAAGTTCAAGGTTACAACCTGTTTTTACTATTGGTAGTTTCACTGTCAGTGTTTTGTTTTATGATGTGTGTGAATTGAATAAGTACGAATGTGCAAGAGTATCAAATTAATATTATACGTGTGACATTATTTAAAAATAATAATATTTAACATTCCGTCTATAAGAATAATAAGACTGGAAGTGAATGTTATAAAACTGCTGCATGCTTTTTTTTTAATAAATGGTTACCTATTAATGGTAAATATTTATTAGGTACATACATCTCCTTTTTTTCTTGGTCTTTTTAATTAACTCGCAGGGCCTTTAAAAACCGATAAAAGACGAAAACCAAAATACTTTGTTATCCTAAAATATTTAGAAGTACAGGAGATACAAAAGCTAATGCAACACGTTCATATATGGTTGCATGAACATTTATAAAATTATTAACGCAAGTTTTTCTATTGCAAAAGCTTGTTTTAATTGAACTACTAATCATTATCTTTTGATTCATGTTAATTTAATTTTCTTATTTTAATTCAGAAAACCAGATTACATAGTTACATTTTGTTATAAAAAATAAAAATACATATACCTACCTACATAAAGAACCTTCAACAGAAATGAACAGTTCTACCTGTACATTGGACTGTGGCTGCTTTAAATTATATTAAAATTAAAACTTAGAACTATTTTCAGACTTGATCAACTGATTCATTAAACCTTTACTATTAATTTATATTCAAAATAGGTACGCGTATATCCTTGAACGTTATTCACAGTTATTGTAACTGTATTTAGTTGATATATGGTAAACAAAACAAGTATTTTCTTTATAAATATCATAAATTCAAGATTTTCTTACCAAAAATAGAAAGCAACATCTTTATTATACAGCATGTCTGAAAAACGAATTTACTTATTTTTTTTCATTTATCCGGGTACTTATTTGTAAACTATTACAGTAATCAGTATTTTCTTTTGTATTTTTTGTTTTACTTGTATTGTAAATAAATTATTCAAAAAATAAAATGTGTAGCATTAGCATTGTTGGCGGTGGTATGTTTCATTTTGCGTTTAATTTACGGAGAGAAAGACAGGATCCATGATAGCCGTGTTGTTATTGACTTTGCATAATGGCGTACGTTTGGAGACGTATCATTAATAATTGTGTTTTATTTCCATTTTCGCGTTTACGTAAAAGCCATCAGGTGAAAACGAACGTGAATTTGGCTTCTGTTTATTCCGAAGGTGCCGTAGGAATAATTGCAAACATGCAATGCGATGCGTTTAATGCAGCAATAAGTGTATAATTTATTGCAAGTCACCAACGAGAAATTAAAAATGGCCGATAAACTGTATAGCCCAGAAAAAATAAAATAAAGTAAGAACCATGTTTTTAATCCACCACGCATTGTGTTATTATGCAATAAAATTATTAACGTGATTTTTTAATTAACCTAACATCGTTGCTATTTTCCTAATTAGGTTATTTTTTTATTACAGGTAGGCAGTTCTTTCTCGGCTGTTCAACGTTGGACTTACTGTCTTCTGCAGTTTTTGCTGTTGTCGTGAAATGCCTTTCTTAGGGGACGATGGGGATCTCCAATTCATTTAGGGTAAGTCATTGTTTATTTTGAGAGGAGGATGAGTCTTGTACAATGTTACGGTGCGTTACCATGGGGGAAGAGGGGTGGTTCAAGAGAAGTTTTACGTAATATTGTATCAGTTAAAATTAAAAAAGAACAATTTATTCATTAATTTTTCTTTATGTTGCGCAACATTCTTAGGTAAAGATGGTTACTGAGGTTACGTAACGTTTAGAGAGGTAGAGGGGGTATAAAGGGAAACGTTACAAGGGGTTGGAGAAGGAGGTTCAAAAATCTTTAGAAACTATGTAACGTATAATACTTGAACAGCCCCCCCCCCAACAGGAGATTGCGTTTTCTTTAAGTATGTGATAACATTTTTTTGGATTTTTGCTTCAAAATGTTAATTTTTTTAAAAAATTTTCTAAGTAATTTAGTTTTGACCTGTAGGACATTGATTTCTAATTCAGAAGAAAAGCTTTTATTTAATTTGTTAAAAATTAATGCATCTGAGTTTTGCTTTACATTTTTTGCTATTATGAAAGAAGTTTAATACTTGGAATGTTTGTCGAGCAACACCTTGTATATTGGTGATGGTAGTAGTAATTTTATTCGATTTATTACTCTGCTTGACAGTGTTGTAATAGCCGTAATTAAAAAGTTATCATAAACATTTATCGGAAAGCTAATCAATTATGAAATTAACAATATTTTTTATTCATGCTTACTATGCACTGAATCCATAAATGTTAAACATAATTAATTTTTTAATAATTTTTTCCTTAATACTTTCTCGTGGAATGGGTAATAAAAAAAAATACTCGTCGCAAATTGGAATACTTTTAATGTTTTAAGTTTTTAATCATTGCAATAAATAATAGAGCATGTCTTATAAAAATTACCTAAACTTGTATACTTAAAAATTTAAATGTTTAAGTCATATAATTTTCCCTTTTGCTCGTCTTCATGTCGTTCTTCTGTCATAATCACACCTTCACTTCCTCACTTAATAAATTAAACCATTACAAAAATTAAGACTAACTAAGACAACTTAATTAAAATTGGACTAGAATTTTATACGTATGAACATGTATAAATAGCGAAATGTATTCAAATAGTGAACAAGACTGGTTTATGCCAAAATGTCAGTCGTCCTTCCTATTTACCCTGAAGCAAAGAAAATTATTTAATTAGCACATTATAATTATATTAATATCATGATATCAAAGGTGTCTAATTAATTTTTCATCAATAAAAGTATATTTTCTTATGATCTCAAGTGCTCAAAAAATACAAAATTTGAGGTTGGTATACATGATGAAAGAATTTTGAAAATATTTTAATTTTTATTGAAAATGGGGGATCGTAATTTGACTATAGGATTTTTTTTAGAAATATCACTGTTAGTAACAAATGCCACTAAATTGTGATATTTCCTGTAGTTTGATATTATACACTGCCTATGGCGCGCTGATGAGAGCAAATAATCGTGATTTTCGTTTGGTAATTTCTGTAAATTACTGACCTAGGACATAAATTGTACTTATTAACAGGATTTTGTTGATACTTTTATTTCAAAAGTATTTTTTGTTAATTTTAATTTAGATAGTTAAAAAGATTTGAAATTATTCAGTCGATAGGCCAGGTATATAACTACATATTGTATAGGAAAACAAAACAGAGTTTCAGGCTTTTATAGTGAACAAAATGAGAATACGAAAATTGTTAATTTATTTTTTGTAACGTCCTAGATAGATAGGGGTCTCACTCAGGTTTTGTATTTAAACTGAGTAATTTTTAAGTAGGTAAACTGTACTTACTAATGCCATGGGGTATAAGAATGTAGTAATACTGTCATCCCCTTCAGAATTTTGGGCCACACATGTGTAGGGTCCCATGTCTTCCCAACGAAGGCTGCGTATCCTCAATTCACCGTCAGGTAGGACCGAGACGCGGCTTTTAGTGTCTCTACTGATAACGTTCTTGTTCGCATCGGTCCAGAACACCTCCGGTTGTGGACTTCCGTTTACTTTGCAAGGTAGCGCGATATCGTTGCCTGAAAATAATTTCATTTGTTAAAAAAAATACAAGAAGGATATATATCGATTGGTTTTTGCCACCGTAATATTCTTTTACTTACCCATAAAATCAAGCAGGGTAGTGTAGAAATAGACAATTCGGGGCTGGGTACGTTGGCCCAAAATACTCTCGGTGAGAAGTCGGGAAAAGTTTTTGTGCTGGTCGGGAGTCTTGACGATGCGAAGTGTTATAGTAGCACTCGCCACTTTTTCACCCGCTTCGGCAACACATGTGAAAACTCCTTCGTGGACTGAAAGGGCTTTATTTATGATCAGTCGTGTTTTTGTAAGCGCCCTTCCTTGCGATGAAATCGAATTAATTAAATTGGTTTCGAAAGCTTCATTCTGAAACACCAAAAGTGTTGAAAAGATTAATTATTATTGATTAATATTTAATATTAATGAGAAAATTCCTTTAATTTTTGTCTACTACAAATTACCTCAAATCAATGAGGTTTAGTGATTAGTAGGCAGGAGCATTGGTGCGTAAAGTCAAAGATCCCGGGTTCAATTCCCGGCGAGGGTGTGATAATTTTTTCGTCATTAATTAGAGACAGGTAATTGGAGAACATTAATAATTTAAAGGATTATTAGGACATCATAAATTTACACGACGTTTAGTGATATTCAAAAAGTATTTCGTTTTTAATATTTTCGATTGTATGTATGGGTATTGAATTTACCTCTGTGAGGACCTTGTTTCCCATTAACCATTGCATTAGGGGCGGTGGTGATCCGATTGCTTCACATTCCAATTCTATTCTCTCTCCTCCCTTCTTATTCAAAATCCCGTAGGGCGCTTTGATGATTTTGACGAACGAGTTTGTTCGGGGCAGCGGTACCGCCACGCCAACTTCGTTCGACGTTTCGTCACCTATTTCGTTTTCGCTGTTGCCAATATCCTCTGATAAACGACGACATATTGCCACGTCAAAGAGGGCTATGCACGTGGCCAGCAGAAACGCGTAATACACAAGATTAGTCTGAAAAAAAAAAAAAAGAAAATCGTTTGTAGTACAAAAAAAGATGGCAAAGTAAATCTAGTTGTGAAAAGCAAAACTATCTGAATAAGAGGTTGATACAGATTAATGTCAATTTAAACTGATAACAAGACTATCTGTCTTTGTAGCATTTCTTTGCGTTTGTTGTAATTAATCAAATGCTGTTGTAATATCGTAATTTAAAATGTTCCGTTGACTTATCGAGTTACTTTCCTTTAAAAAAAAAGCCCTCACAATATTATATAATGTCATTAACCTTAAATTTCAAGGCGCCTTGCTAAAGTACATAGAATTTTAGTATAATCACGCGAGCGATATATGAAATGAAATTTTTGGGTTGCATGTGTTAATTAGTGATTTTTGTAAAGAAACTGATTATTATTAGTCAATACATGAATTTCAGTGAAGTTACAGATTAAAGTTCACTTCCGTATTTAGCATTTAAATATTTTATAATTCGTAACGATTTTAGTAATGTTTAAATGTAGATAATTTCTGATATTCAAGAGGGGGTTTTTAATCTCTCTTAATTAACTCTATTTCTTGCCTGATTGTAAGCGAAAATTATCAATATATAACAAGAAAATTTATTTTTACATACACTTCCAAATTTCTTACTTACAATTAAATGTATTTCGCAGAAACGTTGTACCTACTTGTTAATTGATTGAAATTATTGAGTTCATTAGGTATCTAAAATATTAGTAATTTTGGTGAAACCATAAGACCGTTCTGAAAAACTTTAATTTAATGTATTACTTAACCCCTTTGCCATTTGAAATCTATGGGGTGGTTCTTGCCCTGTCCGTGGCGTCACGGAAATCAACATAAATTTATAATTTCAAAACCGTCCCCCTCCCTAATGAAGTTTTTTTAGTTATTTTTAACATTTGAGAAAATAATTTCACCATCATTTTTGATGATGACATTTTACGTATTATATTTTAATACGTAAGATTCGGATATAATAGAATTGTGTTATCTATGAACAGGGTTCTTCCGACGTATTTGCCGATAAAGTTATTAATGACTGGGAGAGTGACCGTGCAGTAATAGATAACAACTGCTTCGTTTTAATGATATTTTATTGGTATTTTATAATGGTTTTTATTCATGAATTGTAACGTGAACCGCGGTCATATCTCACATGGATCATTTACTATGAATAATTGCAGTCGCTTTCGAAATCAACTATTTGCGATAATACATATTATAGCGATAAATATATGTGTGTAATTTGTACAAGTCGTTTGACGATGTGTCTTTTTTTTATTGGATTTACGAAACGGATTATTAAGCAGTAAAATAAAGCGGATTA